GTAAAAGTGTCTGTGTGTAAAAGCGTCTGTGTGTACAAGCTTCTGTGTGTAAAAGCGTCTGTGTGTGTAAAAGTCTCTGTGTGTAAAAGCGTCTGTGTAAAAGCCTCTGTGTGTAAAAGCGTCTGTGTGTCAAAACGCCTGTCTGTAACAGTCTCTGCGTGTGAAAGTGTTTGTGTAAAAGCGTCTGTGTGTAAAAGCGCCTGTGTGTGTGTAAAAGTCTCTGTGTGTAAAAGCGTCTGTGTGTAAAAGTCTCTGCGGGTAAAAGCCTCTGTGTAATAGTCTCTGTGTGTAAAAGAGCCTGTGTGTAAAAAGCGTCTGTGTGTAAAAGCGTCTGTGTGTAAAAGCGTCTGTGTGTAAAAGGGTCTGTGTGTAAAAGCTTCTGTGTGTAAAAGCTTCTGTGTGTAAAAGCGCCTGCGTGTAAAAAGTGTCTGTGTGTAAAAGCGTCTGTGTGTAAAAGCGTCTGTGTGTAAAAGAGCCTGTGTGTAAAAAGCGTGTCTCCATACTAACAACAGAAGACTCTGCTCCTCTACGCTCTCGGGCCATCCGTCGTCTAGTTTTTTTAACATGTTGTTTTTTCCACGTGTTTTCGCGGTTAGGTGATGACAACGAGCTCGGAAAAGCTGACGCCTGAGACGAGACGAGTTGGACGAGTTGGCGCAGCGAGGTGGTCCATTGACCCGGCTGGGCGATCACCAGGCGGATCACCCAGGATCAGACAAGCCCCTTGATACCTCCCAAGCATATCCAAGCATGTGTAGCAGTATCACAAAGGCCCTCGATCGCGGTGATGTTCCTCCCATGGATTCTGCTGGGATTTTTTGGGCGGTCTGCTGGGCTATGCGAGCAGGATCATTTCACCGATCTTGGACATGTGATGAGTTTGGTTCATGATCATCATACCAGACATGGAGGCACGGAACTTCAAATGGGGTCCCATTTCAACAAGATCAATATAGATCTATAGTCAGCTCATTGGTGGTTTGGAACATTTTCAATATTTTGGGAATAATCATCCCAACTGACTAATATTTTTCAGAAGCCCGGGCTCAGGTACCTTCCAGTGGTAGGGTGGATCATACCGAATCCTGAGGACTGTTTCATTAGGGTAGGTGCAATGTCGTCTACGGTGTTACCTGGTTTTGGCACTCAACTGACTTTGGGGCAAAGATACCCTATGGTATTCACAGTGGTTAGCCGCAATTCTGAAGGAAACAGGCACATTGTGTTTACATGTGACAGGCCAGGAACGAAACTTTGGGTTGATGGACATTTGCCAAGTGGTCGAGTGTTGACTGGCATTGGTTTCAAAGTGACTTCCCTTTCCCCGCCAACCATGACTGTGGACCACCACACGTGGGTACATGTGCTTCCAGATAGCACCTTTGCTGACCCCAGCCGTGTGATTGAGGTGTGTGCAGGGTTGGGGGGTTTTTCCAAAGAGGCCTCCAGAGCGGGTTTCTCAATGCTCTGTGGGGTGGACATGAACAAGGTTTGGAAGCCTTTGTTTGAGGCATTGCATGCAGGGGCCCAGTTGATCGTAGGTGACTTGAATGAGGTGCAGGTTGCCTCAGCACTAGCTGCCAAAGGGGGTTTCTTTTCCACAATGTTGGCCGGAGTGGCGTGTCAGCCCCATTCCCTTTTAGGGGATCGCAGAGGAATGGCAGATGCAAGAGCTTCTTCATTGCCACGTGCTTTGAGTTTGGCATGGACCTTGCAATGTTCCTTGTTGGTCTTGGAATGTGTGCCAGAAATCCAGGGTGACCTTGAGGTTCAACAGCTTTTGCGTCAGTTTGCATTGGCCACAGGCTATCGCATCTCTCAGCAAGTGATTAGCCTCCAGCATGGGTGGTGTACCAAGCGTGCTCGTTGGTTCTGCGTTTTGGCTGCTCCGCTGCTTGGCCTGTGTGAGTTGAAAGATTTGCCAGTTAGCAACAGTCACCAGCATGTGCAAGATGTCATGCCAGGCATCCGTAATTGGCCACCAGAAGATCATGCCCAGATTGACTTGAACTTGTATGAGTTGTCGAAGTTTCATGCTTATGCTGCTGGTGGCATTGAGAGCTTGTACCTGCGGTCAGATGATTGCTGTCCTACACTGCTTCACTCAGCAGGGAACCAGTTGTATGCATGTGCGTGTGGGTGCAGGGGGCCTTTGTCTGAGCAGCGTCTTCAATCCCGTGGACTTTTTGGGGTTCTCATCCCTCTTGAGACTTCACAGGTGCATATGAATCAGGTCATGCAGCACTGCAGGTACTTGCATCCTCAAGAGATGTGGGCATTGATGGGTGGCGTGCCAGGCATTGATGTTGGCTGCAATTTGAGACTTGCCATGGCAGGGATTGGGCAGGCAGTATCTCCATTGGTGGGGGTGTGGGTTCTGAGCCAGCTCCGTCGTCACTTCGATGTCTTTTTTGGGATTGTTCCGCAGTGTGACCCAGAGCAGGTTTTGGCAGGGTACATGTCTGACCTTGTGACCACATGCCAGCGGCGGTGGCCTTCACCCATTCCACCAACAGTGCCTGCTACAGGTGATCAGGAAGACCCCATTGAAGAAGACCAGCCGCACATTCAGGTTCATGTCAGATGGTTGACTGAAACAGCTGCACCCATAGCCATTTCTTGTCCATCAGGCACCACTGGTCATGAGTTGTTGGAAGCTGAGCAGGTCTTGACGGGTGCGGCAGCTGAGCTCATGATGTGGTCCAGTGCACAGGCGTTGGATTTGAGCCTGCCATTGCAACAGGGAGCAGAGATCGGGATTGCCCCCAAGGGTTTTGCCAATGGTCCCAAAGCGGAGGTAGCGGTTCCCTGTTGTTTGTCACCTCAGGATGTGTTAGCTGAATGCCATGAAGAGCCAGGTCATGACTGGAATGTCTATGCAGTGTCGTCCCTTGCACAGCTGACAATCAAACGGGAGTCCCACATGTCCAAGATTGAGCGTGAAGCCATCCTTTGTCTTCAAGGGCCAGTATGGGGGGATGATGAGCTGCTTGCTGGGTTTCAGCACATTGCACTGCACACCGACAAAGACCAGCATGTTCATGTGTGGGACCCGTTGTTGGTTACTGGGCTTACCATCACACCGGATGGAGCCACTTGGGCTCAACTGTGTGCTTCTTTGGGTTCTGTTGCCACTGTCATCACAGCTGCCATGGTTGACAAACATTGGTACCCTTTGGTTTGGCGCATGGATGATGAACTTGTCATGTTGTTTACATGTGGTGTCGTGCCTGCACACGTGGAAGTCTTTGAGGGATTGGCCAAGATGGTGGGGCTGCGTCGTGGGGTTGATGGACTTTGGAACAACAAGCTGGTACCTTTTGTTTTGGGGGGTCACTGTGGGGCCTTGGCTTTGACTTTTGCCCGACACCTGCTGTGGGGGGAGGCCTTCCCCACCACTTTCGACCAGTTGGAGAAACAAGCTGGACAGCTGCGTCGGTGTTTTGCAGCAGAGTTGGGTGAGATGTGCATTCGACCTCAGCTGGCAGCCCTTGGACTTTCCGTGGCTGACCAGCTAGCAACTGTGCTCTGTGATCATGGAGCAGAACCCAGTGAGAGCATGCAGCGTGCCAAGGATGTCATCCAACACTTAGGTGAGGATTCTGTCAACTCAGCACTGCAAGTTCCCAATGTTTGGAGAGAGCTCAAGCGGCTTGCAAACCAACAACGGCCTCCACTTGTACTGATTCGACCGTCAGAGCTGCAGAGGGCCATTGAAAAGCGAGGAGGAACCTATCAGGTGGGTAGTAAGAGGCAGAAGAAAACAAAAGGGAATGGCAAGGGGAAAACTGTGCAATCCATTTTGGACCCGACACTGTTGCGTTTGGAAGCAGGGCTTTTTCAAGACTCCCAGGGTCATGCACTGGCTCAGCTTGCTTTGGCTCAAATTGGTCCTCAGGCTTCAGGGGTTGTGTTGCTGAACCAAGTGATGGCAGAGCCATACCTCAAAGCAGGCACATGCATGTCGGCAGGGTCGCTTGGCCTTTTTGTTGTTGATAGCACAGTTCCAGTTGTCACAACCCTGGCAGTTTCATCAGTCCGTGTCCCTTTGTTGTGCACAGCAAATGGAGAGCCAGTTTTGGTGGATGGACTTTTGTATCAGCTAGGTGCTCTGTCGGTTCAGAGGGCACCACCTACCATCGGATGCGAAATCCAAGCAGTTGCCACTTGTGTAGTGAAAGCCATGGTTTTTCGTGATATGACAGATGAAAGCTGGTCTCAAGTTTGCGCCCATCCCATGAAGCATATCTTTGGAAGAGTCAGCCCTTTGCAGACTTGTACAGATGAAGAATGCGCAGGTTGTGAAGCTTGGCACCAGACCCAGCACTATCCGGTCTCCACCCCAGTTTTGGAAGCATGGGGCAAGCAGTGGATGAAGTTGAATTTCCAATACTGTCCATCTGACCAAGCAGACGTTTTTGGGGTCACCTTAGATTGCCTGATGTCCTCCAGCGCCAAGTCCAGGCCTTCAGTGGATTTGATGGGGTGTTTTTGGAGCCGAGATCACTTGACGGCAAGAAGCCTTCCGACCAGTTTCAGGTCATTTGGATGCCCAAAGCCGATCTCACACAGCTCATGATGCAGCGACAGTCGCTGCCAGCCATTTGTGGCCTTGCACGAATGGGCAACAAGCTGGGCCTTCGCTGTTTGGTGAGTGACGTAGCCCAGGTGTACGCCAAGGTCAAACCAGGCCAGATTTACTTACCTGCTGGAAGCAAGTGTTCGTACCTGGTAGGACCTTTTCCTTTTGGAACGCTGAAAGCATCGGTTGCTCATGCACTTGCGTCTTGTGGATGGGTTGCCAGACCTATTCAACCTGTTGGCACACATGACCAAGTTCAGGGTTTGCTTTTCAGGGTTCATGCAGTTCAGTCGCCTCCAGCGAAAGTGTTGCACATGCAGCATGGAGATGTTGTGGTCACACAGGAAGGGTCTCCTCCAGCCAACATGCCTGCAGCTCCCCGGGTGCTTGCCTCCCCAGCCATGGTCACCAAGGGTCAAGAAATTGACCATTTGCAGCTCAATGATCCCTGGGCCCCAGCTGTCAAACATGCCAAAGTTGGTCCGGTGCCCATCCCCATTGGGAACCCCCTTGAGGATATGGAACATAGGGTGGTGCAGGCAGTCATGGCTCAGCTGCCTCCAAAGGGCATGGACATCGACCCAGAGGAAGGGCAACATGCCCGTGTCGCCAAGTTGGAACAACAGATGCAAGAGCTGCAGCACAACACAGCACAATTGGGGCATACCCTGCAGCAACAGCATGGAGAGCACACACAGCAGCTCCAGGAAGTGCACAGCCAATTGCAACAGCAGCACAAGCACTTTGATGCGGCCATCCAGGCGCAGGCAGGACAGATCCAAGGTTTTCAGGATAGCTTTCAAGAGCAATTCCGGCAACAGGTGGTGCATCAACAGAACATGTTGGACGGAATGTTTCAGAAGCAGATGCATCAGTTTGAGAGTTTGCTTTCCAAGCGAGCTCGCCAAGAGTGATGGGGCCCAGTCACACACTTGACTGCCGTGGGTGATTGGGATAGCAGAGTAGGTGGTCTCACAATGGCCATTTTGGCACTGTCTTTGTGGATTTGGGGTATGAGCCTCGCTGGACTTTCTCACAGGCTCTTGGCCATATGGATTGCCGGCCTCTCATGGGTAGGGGCGTTGTGGGGTGAGTCAGACAGGTTGAGTCGAAGACAAGCAGGGACATTAGATGTCTTGCCAGCACACAAGCGCGCAGCTCCAGGTCAGCAGCGTGAAGTTTGCCCTGATGGAATCTCAGCAGTTTTGGTTGGTGTAAGTGTTCGGTGGTTTCACACATGGATTTTGGGGATGAGCCTCGTTGGACTTTCTCACAGGCTCTTGGCCATATGGATTGCTGGCCTCTCTTGGGTAGGGGCGTGGTTGGGTGAGTCTGACAAGTTGGGTCGACAGCAGGCAGGTACATTTGAGGTCTTGTCGTCACACAAGTGCGCAGCTCCAGGTCAGCAGCGTGTCAGTTGCCTTGATGGAATTTCAGCAGTTTTGGTCGGTGCCGGGTTCCGGTGGTTTCACATTTTTTGTCACATTTTTGCAGTTTTGGGATCCCTGGTCCTCCCTGTCAGTACTAGTGTAGGAGCCAGTCCAATGCAGGTGAAAAGCCAGCCAGGGGTCCGCAAGGTCGCTCGTCATTTGCCAGGTCATAGCTGGTCCACCATGCGCCGCAGGGGTGGGTTCCAATGGCTTTTGTGGGTGCTGGTGTGGTGTGGACTTAGTCGTATAGGTGAAGCGGCTCATCCTGGACCAAACACTGGGTCACAAACTTGGAGTTTTGGAATTGCCAATCCGTCCGGGCTTAACTCTAAAGTTGATCAGGTGGCACATCAGGAGGGTCAGGCATGGGTTTTTTCAGAGACACAACTTTCCAAGCAGGGTTTTTGGTCTTTCCGCGAAGGAATGCAGTGCCTTCAGACCAAATGGAAGTACCTGGTCCCAGGGGCCCCATGTCCACCACGCAGGAATGGTCAAGCAGGGAACCATTCAGGGGTCCTGTTGTGTTCTCAGTACCCAGCACGAGCACTTCCTAATGGTTTTGACTCTGACAGTTTTGCTACCGGCCGCATTCAAGTGGCAGGGATGATGGTTGATTCGATATGGGTCACCATAGGTATGCTGTATGGGGTTCCGTGCAATGCTACCCATCAGTTTGCCAGATACCAGACGGAAACCTATTTGGCTGAGCTGGTAGAGAGGGTGGGGTTTCAAACAGCGGGACCCCGTATCATTTGCGGGGATTTCAACTATGCAGTGCACGAGCTTAGCCAGTTGCAACGCCTTACAGACTGTGGTTTCCGTGAAGTCCAGGATCTCTGGGCATGGCGCCAAGGGGTTTCAGTGAGCCCTACGGGGCGTGGGTCGAAGCGAATTGACCACATGTGGATTTCACCTGAACTTCAGGGCTTGTTGCAGCGTGTACACATAGCCTGGGACAAATGGGCAGATCATGCCACAGTTGAGGCCACCTTTGGTTGTCAAGGACTCCGCCAGGTTAGTCAAGTTTGGGCTCAGCCTTTGCCTTTTCCATGGCCAACCAACTGGGATTGTCAAGTGGATTTTGCCAGAGATGATGATCCTACTATAGCTTATGCCAAGGTGTGGAGGCAGCTTGAGACACAAGCCCGGAGCAGGCAAGCTCAACAAGGTTGTCATGTCACCAGAGCACAATGTGGGCGGGCCCAAACCCTTCAACCTACAGCCAGACCATGGCAGGGTTCACCAGTTAAGAAAGCCAGACATGGGGAACTTCAGCCTACCTACTATGGCATAAGTTTGCAACATGCTCGTTTTTTCAAACAATTGCGCAGGTTGCAAGCGCTTTCCCAGCAGCTTGCCCAAGGGCTGCAGACATGGAATGCACAGCTCAATGCTCAAGAGACGTGGAAAGCCATCCGCAAGGCATCTGGATTTCCTGGGGGTTTTGGGGCTTGGTGGGCGGAGCATGGACTTGGATTTGCTCGGCCTACCTCCCCGGTTTTGCCATTCTTTTTGCCTGGCCTGGGGTTTGTCCAAGAGTTGTTTCAGGGTTTCCAAGCCTTTGTCAAGCACTTTGAAGCCAAATTAGCAAAGCAACGCTACCAGTTTGGCAAGCAGCGTAGGATGGCGGACATGAATGTAGTTTTCCAAGACTGCAAATCGACACCGCCGCCTGCGGTGGAAACGTTGCTTGACCGTATCTCCGTAGGGATAGAAGAGGTCAGACCTGAGGACAGTTCAGTTGTCTTGGTGAGTCCCACAGTTTTGTTGCCTGGTTTGCCGGTCGTTGTCCAAGGGCGGGCTATGGAGGTTGTTGCGCATGACCATGATCAGGTTTGGGTTGACTCAGTGGATGGGCTTGAGGCAGGACAAGTGCTTACCCAAGAAAAGGTCATCATGACTGATGATGACATTTTGTTGCGCTTCAGGGATGCATGGGAACCAAGATGGAATAAACAGGCTCATGTTTTGCCAGGGCAATGGGATCAAATCTGTGGATTTGTTGAACGTGTGTTGCCTAGGGTGAGTTGGCCTATTTCCCCTTGGACCCCAGACCGTTTTGGTTCCTTGGTTCAACAAAAGAAGAGCGAAGCTGCAAAAGGGCCAGATGGAGTTTCGCAGCCCGATCTTGCATCGCTGCCATTTGCAGCCCAGCAAGCCATGGTTCAGGTTTTTGAAAGTGTTGAAGCAGGTGCGAAGTGGCCTGCTCAGGTCGCCTGCGGTTTTGTAGCGAGCCTTGCAAAGACTCCGCAGGCACAGACGGTGGAGGAATACAGACCAGTGACGGTCTACAGCCTGCTTTATCGCATTTGGTCGTCAGCTAGAGCCAAGGAGGCCTTGCAAGTTTTGGCGGGGTTGGTTCCACAGAGTGTCCAAGGGGGGTTACCGGCGAGGCAGGCCAGGTCAGTTTGGTACACAACTGCTCAGTTCTTGGAATCAGCACTGGTGGATAATGTCCCCTTGCATGGCATTTTGATGGACATACGCAAGTGTTTCAATGCCATTCCTCGTTTTCCGTTGTGGTGTGCCCTTCAGGTCTTGGGTTTTCCCATGGGGGTTTTGCGTGCATGGGTGGCCTTTGTTGCGGGTCAAACTCGTCGCTTCAAGGTTAGGATGTCTACAGGAGAACCAGTGCACTCCAACTGTGGGCTGCCGGAGGGCTGTGCCTTGTCGGTCTTTGGAATGGTTGTCATCGATTGGATTTTGGACTTATGGTTGCAGGCCACACAGCCAGGCGTTGGACTTCATGCCTTTATCGATGACTGGGGGGTTCTCTTTTCCTCTCAAGAGCAATTCCATGGGGTTTGGCAATCAGGTTTGGACTTTACATCCGCCCTTGACCTTGAGTTGGACTTTCGCAAGACCAAGGTTTGGAGTACTGAAGGTGTTGCCAGGAGAGCCTATCGGGCCCATGCTTTTCAGGTCACCCTCGCTGCCAGGAACCTAGGTGCACACCAGAACTTTTCCCGACACTCTTGGAATGCTACTTTGCGTGCACGGTTGCAGGGCATGCCAGATGTCTGGACCAAGCTTAAAGCCAGTTTGTCTCCCTACAAGGTTAAGTTGCAGGCTGTTCGAATGTTGGCATGGCCTCGTGCGTTGCATGGTATCTCTGTGGTCCACCTTGGCGCTACCCACTTCAAACAACTGAGGACAGGGGTGGTTCGTGCAGTTCAGGCAGAACGAAAGGGAGCAAACCCCATGTTGCATTTGGCCTGTCACAACTTAGTCACAGATCCTGAAGCGTGGGCTATCACCCAAACCCTGAGAGACGCCCGGGAACTTGGAGGTTTTGAAAAGGTAGACGCCATGTTGGCTCTGTTTGCGGCCCCGGACTTGGATTTGCCGTCCAATGGCCTTACAGCAGTGCTGCTTGCACGCATGCAACGGTTGGGATGGGCGGTGAGTACCTCTGGTCTGGTTCAAGATCGGTACGGCAGTTTCAGTGTGGTGCAACTTCCATGGGATGAACTGTTCTTACGGGTCTCTTTGTCATGGGGCACTGTGTTGGGCATGGAGGTTGCACATAGGGAGTCCTTCCAGGGCATTGAACTTGCAGATGTCCAGGCAGTGCAGGCAGCTCTTGCTGGTTTCGGCACGGCCGATCAAGTCTATCTGCGGTGTCATTTGGATGGCACGTTGTATACGCAAAATGGGAGGGCCCATTTCAAAGCTGAAGCTGATGGCACCTGCCCCTGGTGTGAGCAAAAGGATGGATTTTATCACAGGGCTTGGGCTTGCCCTTTCTTCCAAGACTGTCGTGCGCACCTTGATCAATCTCAACTTGCCTTGATACCGTCTCTCCCCAAGTGCTTGTCGTGTCATGGGTGGGCTGTTCTGTTGCCAGAATGGGAGGTTTTTGCCAGATGGTTGGTCAGGGATCATGGACTTTCATGCATGTCACCGGTAAACCATTGCCAGTCAGCACTCCCCCACAAGGTTGATGTCTTTGTTGATGGTACAGCAGCCAAGCCACGAGAACCTCGTTTGCGGTATGCAGCCTGGGCAGTTACGTTGGCAGAGGCAGGTAGTCTGACCAACACCTTGCTCTTGGGTGGTCATGTACAGGGTCTGTGTCAGACTCCATTCAGGGCTGAGTTGACAGCAGTTTTTTGGGCACTTCACTGGGCACGGCAGATGAACAAACAGGTGCGCATCTGGACCGACTGCTTAGGGGTGTTGCGAGGTCTTCAACGGATCTTGCGAGGTCAGCCAGTGCGAATCAATCGGGCGCATTCAGATCTATGGCTCAAGATACAGTCGCTGTTTGAGGATTGGACGGTTGAGGCAGTTCAGGTGATCAAGGTCGTGTCACACTGCGACATATCCAAAGCTGAGTCACCGGTGGAGGAGTGGGCGTTTTGGCACAATGAACTTACTGATCGAGCGGCCTCGCAAATCAATGAGACCAGAGAGAAAGCCTTTTGGGATATTTGGGAAGGGTTGGCAGTGGCATTGGAAAAGCATCGGCAACTGCATCGAGCTATTCTGCTTGTCCTGCTCAACTCAGGTCGCAAAGCCCACATGGCGGAACAGCAGCAAGGTAAGATGCCCAGTCCGGCTCCTAGATCACAACCTACACTGCAGGTGCCTATGCCAGTAGCACCCGCTACCTGGCGTTTTCCAGACAAAATGGTGCGCAGGTATGGAGAAGTCAACACCAGGATGATGTACCAATGGTGGAGTGCCGTAGGTACAGCCTATTTGGAGGGCCCTGCACCATTGGCCATGATCAGTGGCTTGCAGCTTTTCTGGGATTTTTACCAAGTTACGAAGTACCCAGGGCCTTGGGTTTACAGAAAGCGCTGGTATGCTCAGGAGCAAGAGGTTCCACTTCAGGGTCAACTTTCCTGGGGGCATCGCATCAAACCGTTTTTGTTGCTTTGGAAGGCTTTTTTGGGTCATCACAGTATCAAGGTTCCTCAAAAGATGGCTAAGCCCCATGCTGTTGCTATTTCCCATTGGGTTGTTTGCTATCGGTTGCGGATGCCTCCAGAGAAGCTGGCAGAGTGCGATGCTGCCATATTTGAGCAGTTGCACCGCCAAGCGGCGACGGCAGCTGATTTCCAGCTGATTGAGCCGGCAAGGACCGGATAGAGCGACCAAAGAGGTGGGGCAAGGGGGTCGCACGGCTGCCCACTTGCTCTTCAATAAAGTTAATAAAGTTCATTTAATATTTTTCAGAGGGGTGGCTCAACCACCAACGAGTATAGTCAGCATTAGTCAGCCATGTTTTACCGTTTTGTGGCGTTTCAATGGATCACTTGGATCAGCCTTTGGCCCATTTCCAGTGGATGTGACCTTGAAGCCCCGCAGGTAGCGTCTACGAATACTTCTTGAACATCTTGCAGGTGTCGTGGTATGCTCCAGGCAACTTGTTGGCCACTAAAGGTGAGTAGGACATTTCTGGAGTCCCTTTTTGGACAAGACCTGTGTAAAATCCATGTTGACTCTTAGGTGAGGATGGTGACGTGGACCGGCAGGATTATTTCGATGTTGCATTGGCCGCCATTTTTTTCTATGATACAGACTTCTTCGAGGAGTGCTTTCCTGGCTTGATCTTCACAGTCTTTCAGAGTTTCTTTCACAAATCCGCTGCTGGGCAGAAATCGGGGATCATCACTGGCTAGTGTTGAAAATTTAATACTGCTATGTTCCATCCTACACAAAGTACCTTGGTTGGCACACTATTTAAGCGTCAGCTCTACCTAATTTTGCGATTGAAACCACCAGCCAGATCAACATAGATCAACCCTTCCCACACATCAACTACCAAGTGCCTATTGCCTTCAGGCTACTAATGGTAGCTTCGCAAAGTATCAGAATTCAGCTTTGCATGGGACATCTTGCAGGTTGTGTCTCCCGTAAAATTTGTGGTTCAGTGGAAGGTAGTGAGGTAGTGTGCCATTTGAAGAGGTGGCAGAAACACAAAACACGTGCCGTGGCTGCTTTTAGCACGCTTTTGGTCGAAAGGGCAGCCCCGAGGGCCCGAGGGAACAGAAAAGGTTGGACAGAATTCAGAGGGAGTTCGTTCTTTGGGCGCAAGGGGAGTTAGAGAATCTCCCAGACATGCGTCCAGAGGAATGTTATTGTGGTTATTCTATTTTATTTGTGTTATCTATGTTTACTCGGGCCGGTGGTAAAAGCCTTGCCACAGCCGTGTCAGGTGAGCGGTAGTTTCATGTCCGGAACAAGCCCTACAGAACGGTGCAGCCAATCATCGTCAGGGTCGAGCGGTTCAACCCTGACAGGAGCAGAGTGAGGTGTTCTACGCTCTCTTGTCTTCGTCTTTCACTGTTTGAAACCTTGAATGCTTGGGATTTGTTTCTGACAGAGGTTGGGGGTGGTCGGATTTTGATGCGATAATGCTTCACTTGAGGGTTGGTTGGCTCGCAAAACAAATTGTTTGCCCGCTCATTACCACCACCACCACCACCACCACCACCACCAGCGTCATCATCACCACCAGCATCATCATCACCGCCATCATCATCATCACCACCACCATCATCATCACCACCACCCCCTGCATCATCATCATCATCATCATCATCAGAATTTCTTGCGATCTCCACGCCAACATAAAGATTGTTGCTTTCTTTTCACAGGCTTCAAGGCTGCGTAGGGGTGTTTACTTTTTCCATTGAAACACTGGACCTTGGTGATCTCACAGGATGGGTTCTACGTGTGAATGAGTGTGTTCGGGATGTCTCCGGGGACTCCAACAAAGAAACGAACCAGTCAGGGCAGTCGGGGCAATCTGGAGACGAGGAGATGAAGGCTGTGGCGTTTCAGGATTCAGTGGTTAAGTCAGCTCCGTCTTCAGCCATGGAGATTGCTGAGACAGCTGTGCATCATTCCAGACCTTCAAGGGAAGCTCCAGCTGGTCTTTATCTTGATCCCTGCCTCTTCTATTCATACACAGCTGGTTGTGCCAAGGGGGAGGAATGTGAATATTCACATTCAATCCATGCAGATCAGGTTGCCGTGCCCGAGGCGAAACGGCGTGGCCAAGCACGGCTTCGCATCAAGAAGCGGCTGAACCAACATTTTGCCGCACAGAGTCTCTACGAAGTGCACCAAGAGCTTCAGCAGGAAGCGCGCCAAGGCTCCTATGCCAAACACCTGATCCGAAGGCATCTGACGGGGATCGATTCATCCACATCTGCCAGATTGGCCACATCGGGCGCATCGGTCGCATCGGGCGCATCGGCCGCATCGGCCGCATCGAGCGCATCGGCCGCATCGGGCGCATTGGCATCGACATGATCAACACACCGCAGTGGCTCAAGCAATGTCAGGTTATGTGAGCTGTTTGGGACAGCCCGGGATATTGACCCAGCAGTTCATCCTGAGCACCAGTGGCTCAAGCGTGGAAGACATCGTATATATATATATATCTATCTATCTATATCTATATCTATATCTAAGTTGATACATGTTTGGGTGTAGCAGGATGGGGGAAGTCCCAAGCTAGGACCAAGACATTTCTTGGATGAATTCAGACCAATTTCAGGATTTCAGAAGGGACTGCTGACACGCAAAACGAGCCACAGGCAGCCACATAAATTTCTTCTAGTACAGAGAGAAGTGTTACGATTTCGGAGGAATGAGACAGGACCTTGTTCATTGTTCAGGCCCAATTCTTGAGATTTACAAGGCATTGCCTCAGCCATTGTCAGAAACTAAAGAGCGTGCCAATTCTTGTCTCGTGAAGGCGGCTGAGAGAGATGTTGGGGTCGTGGATGGACTCACATCTGATCATCTCGTCATGTGCCCATTCCAAGTTCCTCCATCCCGGTTCCGGGCGTTTTTGCCAACTGAATTCACAAAAGCACGTGACAGTTCCAGCTCCAGGCTCAAAGTTCGATGCTTCCGGCTTCCCGAAGCCAAAAAGACGAACGTGCGACAGAATAGGTCAAGAGCGAGTTTCAACCCTGCCCGAATCTGTCCGTCGGATCGCAGCAAGTCGCGACCCGACATCTTGTGCCTGAAAGAAGGGGATACCCATTCAATATTCGTATAGCTCATAGACGTGAAACGCATATGGGTCCTTAATCCTACTTTGTCATACGTGTTCATAATTATAGCATGCGTGAACTCCAAACAATATCAAAAAATGTATTGTAAATGTAATGTCAATGGCAAACGCAAATGTAAACGTACATGTCAATGCAATGCAATGTATATATTTTGTTTAACACATTTAGTTTGACAATTTGACTATCCAACCTGAATGAGACATGTTCTTCCTACATTTCCATGCGCAAGATCAGACGGAGGGCAGCTTGCCGGATGAATACTGCTGCGAGGAGAATAATCATAGAAGCTTCTCTGACGAGAGTCTAGTCAGAGCATTTCTAGGAGAATCATAGAAGCCGCTTTGTGTTGGAAAGACTACATCTAGATCTATTGAATCTAATTTGAATTTTCTCTTTGAATGTCAGGTTATGTGAGCAGTTTGGGATAGTTTGGGATATTGACCCAGCAGTTCATCCTGAGCACCAGTGGCTCAAGCGTGGAAGACATCGTATATATATATATATATCTATCTAAGTTGATACATGTTTGGGTGTAGCAGGATGGGGGAAGTCCCTAGGACCAAGACATTTCTTGGATGAATTCAGACCAATTTCAGGATTTCAGAAGGGACTGCTGACACGCAAAACGAGCCACAGGCAGCCACATAAATTTCTTCTAGTACAGAGAGAAGTGTTACGATTTCGGAGGAATGAGACAGGACCTTGTTGTTCATTGTTCAGGCCCAATTCTTGAGATTTACAAGGCATTGCCTCAGCCATTGTCAGAAACTAAAGAGCGTGCCAATTCTTGTCTCGTGAAGGCGGCTGAGAGAGATGTTGGGGTCGTGGATGGACTCACATCTGATCATCTCGTCATGTGCCCATTCCAAGTTCCTCCATCCCGGTTCCGGGCGTTTTTGCCCACTGAATTCACAAAAGCACGTGACAGTTCCAGCTCCAGGCTCAAAGTTCGATGCTTCCGGCTTCCCGAAGCCAAAAAGACGAACGTGCGACAGAATAGGTCAAGAGCGAGTTTCAACCCTGCCTGTCCGTAGTCGCGACCCGACATCTTGTGCCTGAAAGAAGGGGATACCCATTCAATATTCGTATAGCTCATAGACGTGAAACGCATATGGGTCCTTAATCCTACTTTTTCATACGTGTTCATAATTATAGCATGCGTGAACTCCAAACAATATCAAAAAATGTATTGTAAATGTAATGTCAATGGCAAACGCGAATGTAAACGCACATGTCAATGCAATGCAATGTATATATTTTGTTTAACACATTTAGTTTGACAATTTGACTATCCAACCTGAATGAGACATGTTCTTCCTACATTTCCATGCGCAAGATCAGACGGAGGGCAGCTTGCCGGATGAATACTGCTGCGAGGAGAATAATCATAGAAGCTTCTCTGACGAGAGTCTAGTCAGAGCATTTCTAGGAGAATCATAGAAGCCGCTTTGTGTTGGAAAGACTACATCTAGATCTATTGAATCTAATTTGAATTTTCTCTTTGAATGTCAGGTTATGTGAGCAGTTTGGGATAGTTTGGGATATTGACCCAGCAGTTCATCCTGAGCACCAGTGGCTCAAGCGTGGAAGACATCGTATATATATATATATCTATCTAAGTTGATACATGTTTGGGTGTAGCAGGATGGGGGAAGTCCCTAGGACCAAGACATTTCTTGGATGAATTCAGACCAATTTCAGGATTTCAGAAGGGACTGCTGACACGCAAAACGAGCCACAGGCAGCCACATAAATTTCTTCTAGTACAGAGAGAAGTGTTACGATTTCGGAGGAATGAGACAGGACCTTGTTGTTCATTGTTCAGGCCCAATTCTTGAGATTTACAAGGCATTGCAACAGCCATTGTCAGAAACTAAAGAGCGTGCCAATTCTTGTCTCGTGAAGGCGGCTGAGAGAGATGTTGGGGTCATGGATGGACTCACATCTGATCATCTTGTCATGTGCCCATTCCAAGTTCCTCCATCCCGGTTCCGGGCGTTTTTGCCCACTGAATTCACAAAAGCACGTGACAGTTCCAGCTCCAGGCTCAAAGTTCGATGCTTCCCGAAGCCAAAAAGACGAACGTGCGACAGAATAGATCTTCGCAGAAACCTTCGATAGAAATATTAAAACATATTAAAACCATATAAAACCATTTTACTGGGAAGCATGTCATGGGACCCATGGGAACCAAGTCTCGTCTCTGCCTTGGATGTTCATCAATGGTCATCACCGGCTATGCCATAGGGATCCATAGGTTGCCAGTGCCCGGCAGACTCTGGCAGGTTCATTATACCTTCAACCTGCGCGACTTTGCGAAGATTATCTTCGGTGTGCTGCTCACGAAGAAACAGGACGGGGCTTAACACAGGGCCACCTGGACCCTGGTGTTGACACGTGGATGGTCACAATGTCACAGGCAACATGTCAATGTCAAACTTATATGAATGCCACATATGAATGCCACTAATTTGCCATAAATATATTGTGCATATATATTATATATATATATATTATATTATATATATATATTATTTATTATATTATGTATATATATATATATTATATTATATATACTATATATATTATATATTATATATACTATATATTTTATATATATTATATATTATATATTTTATATTACATATTATTTATAATATATATTAGTTATATATTATACATATATATATTATATATACTATATATATATATCATATTGTTTATATATTATATATATATTATATATATATGTTATATTATATATATATTATATATATATGTTATATTATATATATATTATTATATATATATATATTATATATATACCTTCTGGTTATGACTAACAGTTCGCCACGGAAAATCACCATTTTTTAGTTCGGTAAACCATCTATTTCTATGGGCCATCACCATGGCTAGCCCTGTTAGTCATAACCAGATGGTATATACATCAAGCAGCTTGATCCCCAGCAGATTCGACAAATGTTCGATTCGACAAGCCCTTGGATTTCACCCATGTGGCCCTGTAGCCGCCCTTCGTCGTGTGGCCTGTGATAGATATGCAAGCTAAGATAAGCTAAGAGATTGGGGGATGTGACCAAAGATTCCAAAGATCACGACATAAAAAATGACCAGTTGAAAAACAACAATGATAGTTTGGGTTTGGTGACACGGATATAACCAGGCAACGGATACACAAGGACTGTAACTTGGACACTGGCTGTGTTGGCATTTGTTGTCCATGTGTCACAGCATACTTCAGATTGGTTGATGTCTTTACCTGAAAATAGCATTTTATGCTACCAAAACCCAGCTACCACATATGGAAAAATGATGGATGACCCCCTATGACCCATCGACAGAGTGTTTCCCGGCCATCGTTTTTTTTTCTCATTTTTTGAAACGTGTTGTTTTTTTCCACGTGTTTTCGCGGCTAGGTGATGACAACGAGCTCGGAAAAGCTGACGCCTGAGACGAGACGAGTTGAACGAGTTGGCGCAGCGAGGTGGTCCATGTGACCCGGCTGGGCGATCACCAGGCGGAGTTTCGCCCATGGAAATATCTATGGTATCTATAGATACATGTAACATATATGTAATTACATGTAGACCTGTTAGATTCTATCTATTTGATATATATGTGTGTGTGTGCACGTGTAATGCTGATGATGATGATGATGATGATGATGACGATGACGATGATGATGATGATGATGATAATGCTGATGATGATGAGGGTGAGGATGATGATGATGATGATGATGAGGATGATGATGATGATGATGTGGATGTGATGACGATGATGGTAATGATGATGATGATGATGTTGATGATGATGATGATGACGATGTTGGTGACCATCATGATAATGTTGTGGTTGATGATGATGAGTTGAAGACGATGACAATGATGACGATGATGATGATGATGATGACGATGACAATGATGACGATGGTGATGATGATGACGATGATGACGACGGTGATGATGATGATGATGAGGATGATGATGATGACGATAATGACGATGATGATGGTGATGATGATGATGTTGGTGGTGATGGTGATGATGATGATGTTGATGATGATGATGACGATGACGATGATGATGATGATGAGGATGATGATGATGATGATGATGTGGATGATGACGATGATGATGATGATGATATATGATGATTTTTGATGATGCTTGATGATGTTTGATGATATTTGATGACATGTAGGTTCAAGACCTGTAGGTGATCTAGATTTTCTCATTTGTCCAACCATGAGGTTAGATCACTTGAGATGGAGAATGGATGGATAGCTACACTGGATCGAAGATGATGGATGTCTATGTTCATAGAAATGTCCACGGATAGATACACCATGCATAGTCACAGATGTGGGTTGGATTTTTGAAAAAAATGTCTGTGGATTGCTTGGCCGGGCGCCTCTTGCTGCCAACCCACATCCAGTGTGGTCTCGCAGTTTTTCACCGGAATTCGTCTCCCAGTGGATGCGGGCTCGCTCTCACTGGGCTATGGATATTTCGCCTAACCCGAAGCCCGAGATGCCGGGTGGGAAATCCTTCAACCTTCACCGACGGAAAATCCTTGATGTAAGCTGCTGCAAAAAATTGTCATGTGTGATGTTCATATGATGTTACATGTGATTACGCTTCGCATGCTTATGGGTCATGATTACGTATCGGACAACTGATTACTGGCCGCATTTCCCAGCTGGCATCATAAGGCGCTCTTTTCTCCAGTTGGGAGTTTCAAAATCGGTGCTCTCAAGTCCTGCAGTAATCCAAAACGAACCAAAAAGGTAGCCATTATCATGGTACTGCAGTTGTCATCCGATAATAATCGTCAACGTAGGCTCAAAGAAGTGTTCTTTTCTTTTATTTGCTGAAGCTTAACCTAGAATTCGATTGTTGACAGCTCACTGTCTTGTTAACTGCGGACCGGGACTATGGAGAAAGTGACCCGTCACAAAAATCGGATCAGATTTTCAAACGGAGCGGGACGGGCACTCCCGGGCCGTTGTCTTCATCCTTAATAGGTCTGACTTCGGAGGTAGCCAGGGTACCTGCCATTGGGGTATTCAGTGGTTGTCTCATGTAGTGGTATCAGACCCACGACATGAGAGGCCCTGAGTTGAATCTTAACTCCGTTTCCTCTATTAGGGAAATTTCATGAAATTTCAAGCTGCAGCAGACGTTTTTAGTGTTTCAAAGGCCAACATGGCCAAACACATTTGCACTTAGAAATCCAAGGAGATTTGAGGCCTAGTTCTCGCCCAAGAAAACTTGAAGACTTGCCACCAAGAATTGGTGAGGAGAAACCCAACTGAATTGGAAGGCACTGCGCCCAATATCCGAGGAATCATTGGCCAGATAGTATGTCTAGTAACTTCCAAAAAAAATCGACGCGTAGTGTATTCATTGCATTCCTACTAATAGTGGTACCCCCTGGCAAAATAACATTTCAATAAAAACATAAAATAAAATTGTTTTTGGTTCAATTTCAGAGATTTACATGGAACTTGGCACTTTTTGCACGGTATTTACTGTAAATTGTGTTGCCTTTGTTTTGGGGTATTACTATACGCAGTATATATATACTTATATACTGATTATTCTGGCATTTGGATGCAGGGTGGATAGCAAATTGGATGTGCATGACTCATCAACAACGAGGCGTTAGCCGTAAACCCACCCAAAGTGTAATCGTGTAACCCATTCAAAGTTAGGAAGTCCACTTCTTTCGTACCTAATTATATATATATATCATATATCTTAATCTGAGGGCAAACGCCACGTTTCTTCCAGGTTTTTGGCACCAAAATGTCAAGTGGACAACAGCCCAAGCTGTTTGGCACCGCTTGGCCCCGCGCGCTTTCGCAGAGCGCTTCTTCAGCGCTTGGAAGGAGCGGGCTTGGACGGAGACCTATAGGGCAGACCATGAAGCACATGAATCATCACAAATCCAGTTCTGGTTGGTGGTTTGGAACATTTTTGATTTTTCCATATTGGGAATAATAATCCCATGTGATTAATATGTTTCAGAGGAGTTGAAACCACCAACCAGAGTCAGTTTACATCAGGATGTTCATGTCATAAAAGTAAATGTTTGCAGGACATTGGATGGAAAAATGGCGTGTTTTGGCCATCCAAAGTATTCGACTAGTCTCTTAAGTTTCCTTCAAAAGCTAGAAACCTAGAAACCAAACCATAGTCCTAGTTGGCTGACCTTGCCATAGGACAAGCATGGCAAGCCAATGTTCAACACGTCCATCATCCACTTTATTTACTGCAAGTGTTGCGGATTGAGCATGGGTGTCACATGTTTGTCATTGCTTGGGAAGTAACATGTGGTAAGCCTGCAAAACCATCCGCCATATCCGCCCTTGCGAGTTTACCAGCGGCTAACCTGCAATCTTCTCCGAGAAAACAGTGAGCTGCGGTGCTTGGACATGAATTGTGTTTCCTTGGCATTGACGTTGATTAAATCCCACTAAATCCCATTACGCCAGAATTTTTGTAGCTAAAATCTCAGTGCTTGGGATTCTCTGCAGATTGCAATGATGTTTCGAAGAAAATCGGGATGGAACTGAGTGATCCCAAAAGACGATTTCTGTGGGATGACCATTGGCATTCTCAGTGGCCAGCAATGCGCAATCGGGTGATCCATTTGGGGTTCTTGGAGCAGATCCTACCCGTGTAGACTTGTACGGCTCAACCAGGCATAGGACACCCAAATTCGGGTAAAAAAACTTCTGAAGACTCTTCGAGAAGGCGATGGAGGAACAAAAAACAACTTCTCTTCAGAACTCCCACATGGCAAGAAAATATAAGAAAATGTGAAGACATGTCAAGACAATGCAGAAGCAGTGGTGCTTGCGGAAAGCTGGGGTTTGCCAAAGCCATCCAATGGAGAGATACCTTGGAATTTGTGAATTATGATTGGAGTATGATTGGATTGTAATACGAGTGATCGATACATGGAGAATCATAGAGGATCATAGAGGAAACAAATGTCATTGCAAAAAGATGACTAGAATGGGACCATGACATGTTGAAATCATTGTAGCTACAGAGCATAAAGGAAACATGGCATGAATCTGACGGATGCCAGGTGCGAGCATTTTGGGTTATGGAGGATTCAGTCAGCCTACCCCCAAGGGGATGGTAGTACAAAGAAGGACCAACCTCTGTGGTCCTCGATGTGTTTCTTGAATTCTGATGGTTTTGTCAACTATGTCATTGTTCGATGGCTATCATTTACAATGTGTTCTTGAAATCATGGTTGTTTGTTGGCACATGTTTCATCATGTGTCACCTTGATGGTTGTCAATGTTTTTTCTGGGAGCATAGAGCCATAGAGGTGGCGGCTCGCCTCAATTAGTGACATGTTAATGAGGAAAATATGTGAAGATCACGATCAACTGATCAAGCATCAAATTTGGGGTAGCCCATCCCAGAGCAAGTTGTTGGCCATGAACTTGCGGCTTGCCTAACCGCTTCAGCCTCATCAGATCTCACGGGGCATGTTGGGCCCCTCACACGGTGGGAATCAAACCAAGTCTCGTGATTTTTTGGCGTCAGAAGGATGCAGACGAAGGTGACAGTCATTGATCCAAATGGTTTATAGATGTTTATAGTACATATGCCTGCCCACCCAACAATAAACACCGCCCATCAAGGCCCGTCACTATCGAATCTGTTCAACAAAAGGGGTCCCCTGGGCAGAGTGATAGTTCTTGACAGGGTCTGATGATTCAAGTGTTCAATTCTGGGGCCCAGAGGCTTTGCCGCTCAGTGATTTGTTTCCTGCTGAATTTTCCCACGGTTGGTCCTGCCTGATGGCTCCCTCAGTTATGAAAACGTACAGTATACATGTCGTCGGATGAGGATCATGCAATTCCATGCTGGTAACAACAGCCCTTATGTGCTCTTCAGAGCGGATCAGGATCAGACAAGCCCCTTGAAATCCCCTTGATACCTCCCAAGCATATCCAAGCATGTGTAGCAGTATCACAAAGGCCCTCGATCGCGGTGATGTTCCTCCCATGGATTCTGCTGGGATTTTTTGGACAGTCTGCTGGGCTATGCGAGCAGGATCATTTCACCGATCTTGGACATGTGATGAGTTTGGTTCATGATCATCATACCAGACATGGAGGCACGGAACTTCAAATGGGGTCCCATTTCCACAAGATCAATACAGATCTATAGTCAGCTGAGTGGTGGTTTGGAACATTTCTTATTTTCCATCTATTGGGAATAATCATCCCATTTGGCCAATATTTTTCAGAGGGGTGCTCAACCACCAACGAGTATAGTCAGCCATGTTTTACCGTTTTGTGGTGTTTCAATGGATCAGTTGGATCAGCCTTTGGCCCATTTCCAGTGGATGTGACCTTGAAGCCCCGCAGGTAGCGTCTACCGATACTTCATGACCATCTTGCAGGTGTCGGCGGATGTTGCAGGCAACTTGTTGGCCACTAAAGGTGAGTAGGACATTTCTGAAGTTCCCGTTTGGGAGAAGACCTGTGTAAAATCCATGTTGGCTCTTAGGTGAGGATGGTGACGTGGACCGGCAGGACTATTTCGATGTTGCATTGGCCGCCATTTTTGACTTTGATAAAGGCTTCTTCGAGGAGTGCTTTCCTGGCTTGATCTTCACCGTCTTTCAGAGTTTCTTTCACAATTCCGCTACTGGGCAGAAATCGGAGATCATCACTGGCTGGTGTTGAAAATTTGCTACTGCTATGTTCCATCCTACACAAAGTACTTTGGTTGGCACACTATTTAAGCGTCAGGTCTATCTAATTTTGGGATTGAAACCACCAGCCAGATCAACCCTTCCCACACATCAACTACCAAGTGCCTATTGCCTTCAGGCTGTCATCGCCAATCCGGTAGAGCACTTCCGTTTTGCCGGCCGCGCCTACGATTTGGCACGTCACACGTGGCGTTGGAAACCTGCGAAAGCGGAGACAAGAGCATCATCCGTGTGGTCTCGAGTTAGTGCTTCGGTGTCTGAAGGTTCCTGGTGCTTTCACAGATTGTTTCCATGATTTTTCTTGAAAATGAGGATTGGCTAAGAACAGAACTGTAAAGAATTTGATTGAATGTCATTGATATTTCACCATTGTAACCAGGATCATCCAAATCCCCAAGGTCAAGATTCACGAAGTCGACTATCCAGGAACAGAATCCACCCTGGCCAGGTTGGGACTTCCTAAGTTGGCAGTACCAGCTGTCTATCCAACAGATGGCCGTGACCGCGGATCTCTTCCGGCCGGTCTTTGTGGACGAGACGTCCACCTTTGCCTCGTTGCTTGGGCCTGGACGAGGTGGACGTCAGAGGAATCAGCAGCAGATCTTGCAACCGGAGGACCTTCCGGCTGTCAGCAAACTGATGCTCGGTGAAACGGTAAACCAGAGATCATATGATTTTATATTGGTGGTTACTGTTGGCTTTATATACCATTGAATTTTAAATCCAATTCATATACCATTTTAACTTCCATTAATATCCTACAGCCTCTGGTAATTAAATGTAATTAACAGTTTGCTATGGCCATTTGCTTTAGTTCGATGATTTACCTGTTAAGTTGCGATGTTCACTAGCTATGTCAAGTTTGTCCTCTCCCCCCCCCCCTAACAATAAACACCTGCAGGAGTTTTCAATATTAGTGGTATTTAATATTAGGCTGCAAAGCTTCCCCTGCATATTAGATTAAAGACCATAACAGACTAAGGTGTTCTATTGCAAAACCAATTAAATTCGTTTTTATAATCTAATCAAAGAATTGTCAAAATTTGATTTCGAAGCTTTCCCCTAATATTCAAGTAGAAACCTGAATAAATAAAACTAACATGCTCGATTTTAAAGTACGGACCCTAATAAAAACCGCCCCTTTGTTGGCTAGTTTTTATTATTTGGGGGGTGAAACCGGTGAGACCCTTGAATGGGACCTTCATTTTTTACTTCGTGTTCTAAAGGGGATCGATTAAAATCAAATCGGCCAACTTCAGATGTCCCAAAAAATAAAATGGACCGGTATTTTTTCCCGAGAGCGCCTGCGAAGGGTTCTTCGTAAAAAAGCAGCCGTTATACTAGATCTTCACACCTTCACATCTGCAGATCTAGATCTTCACACCTTCACATCTGCTGATCTAGATCTTCACACCTTCACACCTGCAGATCTAGATCTTCACACCCTCACATCTGCAGATCTAGATCTTCACACCTTCACATCTGCTGATCTAGATCTTCACACCTTCACACCTGCAGATCTAGATCTTCACACCTTCACACCTGAAGATCTACATCTTCACACCCTCACATCTGCAGATCTAGATCTTCACACCCTCACACCTGCAGATCTAGATCTTCACCCCCTCACATCTGCAGATCTAGATCTTCACACCCTCACATCTGCAGATCTACATCTTCACACCCTCACATCTGCAGATCTACATCTTCACACCTTCACATCTGCAGATCTAGATCTTCACACCCTCACACCTGCAGATCTAGATCTTCACACCTTCACATCTGCAGATCTTCACACCCTCACATCTGCAGATCTAGATCTTCACACCCTCACATCACACCTGCAGATCTAGATCTTCACACCCTCACACCTGCAGATCTAGATCTTCACACCCTCACACCTGCAGATCTAGATCTTCACACCCTCACACCTGCAGATCTAGATCTTCACACCCTCACACCTGCAGATCTAGATCTTCACACCTTCACATCTGCAGATCTCCTCTCGCTCTTCTTCTATTCTCTCTTAAGGCGGGGGCGGTGCCGCCGGAGCGCCACGAAACGCAACCCTTTCGCACGAAATGGACGTTGGACGTCCAAAACCTAGGTAAAATTGCGATTTTGATTGGTCGCACGCAACCCTTTCGCACGAAATGGACGTTGGACGTCAAAAACTGAGGAAAAATTGCGACTTTTATTGGTCGCGCGCAACCCTTTCGCACGAAATGGACGTTGGACGTCAAAAACTGAGGAAAAATTGCAATTTTTATTGGTCGCGCGCAACCCTTTCGCACGAAATGGACGTTGGACGTCAAAAACTGAGGAAAAATTGCAACTTTTATTGGTCGCGCGCAACCCTTTCGCACGAAATGGACGTTGGACGTCAAAAACTGAGTAAAAATTGCAACTTTTGTTGGTCGCGCGCAACCCTTACGCACGAAATGGACGTTGGACGTCAAAAACTGAAGAAAAATTGCGACTTTGAGGTGTCAATCGCAACCCTTACGCACGAAATGGACGTTGGACGTCAAAAACTGAGGAAAAATTGCGACTTTGAGTTGTCAATCGCAACCCTTTCGCACGAAATGGACGTTGGACGTCAAAAACTGAGGAAAAATTGCGATTTTACTTCGTCAATCGTAACCCTTTCGCACGAAATGGACGTTGGACGTCAAAAACTGAGGAAAAATTGCGATGGACGCTTTCGTTTCTGTACAAGTGTCTGTGTGTAAAAGCGTCTGTGTGTAAAAGCGTTTGTGTTTGAAAGCGTGTGTGTGTAAAAGCGTTTGTGTGTGAAAGCGTGTGTGCGTGTGTAAAACGTATCTGCGTGTAGAAGCGTCTGTGTGTAAAACCGTCTGTGTGTAAAAGCTTTTGTGTGTAAAAGCGTCTGTGTGTAAAAGCGTCTGTGTGTAAAAGCGTCTGTGTGTAAAAGCGTTTGTGTGTAAAGGCTTTTGTGTGTCAAAGCGTCTGTGTGTCAAAGTGTGTTTGTGTAAAAGCACCATGTGTAAAAGCGTTTGTGTGTAAAAGTGTTTGTGCACCTTTGTTTGCGCACCTTTGTTTGCAACTGAGGTCACCCAGTGGTGCCGCGCTTTTTGAGCGTCTCTGTGTAAAAGTCTCTGTGGAAGCGTCTGTGTGTAAAAGTGTTTGTGTGTAAAAGCGTCTGTGTGTAAAAGGGTCTGTGTGGAAAAGCGTCTGTGTGTAAAAGTGTCTGAGTGTAAAAGCGTCTGTGTGTAAAAGCGCCTGTATGTAAAAGTGTTTGCGTGTAAAAGCGTCCGTGTGTAAAAGCGTATGTGTGTAAAAGTGTTTGTGTGTAAAAGGGTTTGTGTGTAAAAGCGTCTGTGTGTGAAAGGGTCCGTGTGGAAAAGCGTCTGTGTGTAAAAGTGTTTGTGTGTAAAAGCGCCTGTATGTAAAAGTGTTTGCGTGTAAAAGCGTCCGTGTGTAAAAGAGTCTGTGTATAAAAGCGTCTGTGTGTTAAAGTGTTTTCGTGTAAAAGTCTCTGTGTGGAAATGCGTCTGTGTGTGTGTGTGCATGAAAAACGTCTCTGTGTGAAAGCGTCTGTGTGTAAAAGTGTTTATGTGTAAAAGATTCTGTGTGTAAAAGTGTCTCTGTATAAAAGCGTCGCGTTTCTTCGCGTTCACGGAATGATGGTGCCGCGCCTTTTTCCGCAATGTGTGTGGGAATTACCGTAATAAAATGAGATAGCACATGTCATTCGCAGACTCATGGCACTGAGCCTCCTGTGCACTTTTGTTGCTCACATTACATTTCTCCATGTTTTCTTTCTACCCCACCCCTTTCATCTCTCTCTCTCTCTTGCTTTCTCTTCTCTCTCTCTCTCTCTTTATCTCTGCCCCCTCTTTCTCTCTTTCTGGTTGCAAGACACATGTCATCTGATGCCCTTTACCAAATATTCTCTTCTTGATCAATCTTACTTTTTCACTTCATATTTCACATCATATCTTTCCATAGCTCATATAAAATTCTCCAACTATTCACCGACTATCTTTTACGACTACCATCCTCAGAGCTGCTTGAAAAACATCTTTTTTCGCTCTCGGGCCAACCGTCGTCTAGTTTGTATTTTTGGGTGCGTTTAGCAATAGGGGGAAGGGGTTATGATGGCCAGGTGGGGTTCAAAATCTATAAGTTTGCAGCTGAAAGTGGCCAGGGAGTCCCCACTGAAACTGAATCGGGTGCATGGTTTGCCCCATCTTTATGAGTGGCATGAGAAATCCTTGGAAAACGATTCAGCCATCAGGATTTGCTTGGAATATTTCTGTGAACCAAAGACGGAACTCTTCCACTCCATCCTGGCATCTGGAATCCTGGAGATGTTGAGGAGTTTTTCTTATTTTCCCATTGGTCAACGTGAATCAACTATTTGGGTAATCTACTGGCAATGTGTTTGCTATTTTTTGGGTGGTAATGGGCCCAAATCCGCAAAAACAAAGGAATCCTACCATACTTGGGCGCCCTGGCCATCCATTCATCTGATGAAGTACTGAGTCGCGTCCAGCAGCGGGTGGAGATTCCAGTCTACCGGAGCTGCAAGGAATCTGATTTGCCATACATTTTGGGACCTGCAGATGATTGGCGATTCTCGGTTTCATGTGTTAGGAATGTGTATGAATTTCTTGGGAGGTTCCATCTATATATGTCAATGATTGGCTGGTTGTTTTTGATGTTTTTGTGGCTTGTGTTGGTTTCCGTATTCTATCATTTTCCCGTTCAAAGGATGATGAACCATGGTGAATCCACAGAACTTCAGGTTTGCTTCCCATGCACAGCTCTCGTTTGCTACTCAGCCTCACAGCCTCCGTGGAGGGGCTCTTGATATCGTCGGTCTCGGCGGTTTCGATGCGACATCACATTTTGGATGCAACATCCAATGCAAATCATCTGCGACTGTTGCTCACGGAACAGGATTGGGGAGAAACCAGGGAACCCGGAGCTACTACTCAAACAGTTTCAATCTGCCCAATTTTCTAAACGATGATGACTCCATTCAGCCTGCGTCTGGTGGGACTGGTTCAAAGTGTTCAAAGTAGTCACGACAATGTCCAAATGATTCCACATGTTCACCAGTTGGCAAGAACATCGTTGGCAAACAGTTTTGTGTTTCTTTTGTTGGGACTGGTGCTGTAAGCTACGAAAAAACGACAAAGGAGAACGCCTTCAGCGTTGCCAATCTAGCTCCTGTCTATGAATTAGAGCTGGAAACTGAGACGTTGGAGCATGATTCCTTGGTCTTCCTCCGTGCAAATGGACAGTCTGAGACGGGACATCCGTGGAAATCGAAAGTTGTGCGTCTTGCTGCTTTGATGCAGTCCTTTCGGCTTGCAGACTCCCATGGGGACCTCAGACCTGCAGATGAGCTGAACGTTTCTGTCAGCAAATGTGGCACTTTGCGATGTTTCTTCGTGGGAGGCCATGCTTTTTCGGAGCTCCCCATGCAAGATATCTATCTCTTCAGGCGTCAGGACAGCTTCACTCCTCCCAGCAACTATTGCCAAAGCCAAGAGAATGATTGGCAGAATCATCGGTATATGAAGGGATTGGCTCACAACTATGACATCCCAACGTCCCAACCCAATAATAACTACAACCTTCTGGCTCTGTCCTCGGAAGGTTTGTTCATGCACGAAAGCAATGAAGTTTTGTCCATGGCATACTACCTGCCAGTGGCCTCCATGGTTCACCTGAAACTCCCCCGAGTTCAATTTATTCCAGTGGACTTTTTTGGTCCATGCCGCGAACAACACGGCTGGTTGTTGGTGGATCTGCTTCAATCTTTACAGCTGGTACTACTTCAGGGCTTGGAACATGTCACTCTGGTCGAGCCGCTTCTGGCTGATGTCCCGCACGACATGAGATGCTTGAATCACCAGTGGATGACCACACCTGAGTTGATGAGCCGCCTGGTTGAGAACACTTGGGACCAGATGAAGAGCGTTCCTTTCCGCGACTTCTTCGACATAGGCGGCAAAGGTTGACAAATGTGGCATTAATTGAATTCAACCCACCTAGATCCAGCATCTCCGTACTTTTTTGTGCGACATGCTGCGGCACTGGATGTTGAGAAGGGATTTGGAGGGATTTGGGATTTCATAGGAATTTGCTGTGCCTTTCAGTCTGGGACTGTGGGGTGGGAGGCCCGCTGTAGAAAAGAACCTGCAGCCCCATCAACAATATATGACATATGCTAAAGCTGCCATAAAAGTCAGCGTCAGGCCAATCCTCCTGGTCGTAGTGGTAGTCCTCCTAGTAGCCATTGTCACCATCGTACCAATCCTCGTACCAAGAGGTCATCATCATGGCCATTCTTCATGTCAAGGATCTGTGACAGTGCTCAGTCGGTTCCACATCGTCGCCATATAGTATGCCTGGGGTCCAACTTCTGCATAAAGACCCTCAACTGAGACCAGGCCCTCCATTTTTTCCCTGAGGGCACCTCCGGTCCGAAGTCCAGAAGTTTGCAGTGGATGAAACCATCGAGTGGAACGAGTTTCAAGAGACCGAGGGCGTCATCGATACTCTGCCGCTGGTGATGTAAAAAAGTATCGCTTTTTTGACTGGTTTTCACCATCTTTGGTTGGTTTTGTTTCCCCCAGAGGATACGCATATAAGATCATGTCAGTCATCGGGATGTAGCGGATCCAATAATGTTTCAGGTGGATTGATGGTCCTCAATTGACTACTCTTAGTGTAGGCTTGGGTTAAAACCAGATGCTTTCAGTCCCAGAATTGGCTCAAGGGAAACCTGTAATTTCTCTTTCAATCAACCCGCCATTGAAAGCCCAGTTCGTATCGCTGATTTCCCCATCACAATCCATGTTTATCCCATTTGGTAGATATCCCAGAAGAGTGTTTCACATATCTTTACTATACATATATATATATATACACATGTGCATGCACATATATCCCCATTGTGGCCCATGCAACCTCCCATAGGTTCCTCCTGAATGACGTGGCGCTACCCGGCGGCTTGGTTACCTTGGGTAGCTACCGAATGCAACCCATCCTGCACTGTGAAGATCGACCGGATTTCAATCAGGAGACTCGCGGATTCCTACGGAGACATGCCCTGGGTGATTGGTTACTTTGGTGGGGCTTATACTCGCTAATTTTTGGGTGATTATGATAATCCATAGTAGGAAAGCCTATCAACCAACTAGGATTTCAATGTATTTCATGAGATGGGGTAGGTTTTTTAATGACTCAAGTGGTTTGATATGTCCAGACTGTCGGGAAACATAGAGTTCCGCGCAAATTCTAAGCACCTCACATCATGACATGTTGGGGATACTTCATGACAATTACATGTGTGGTTAGCGGGCGTGTGACTAAAGAGCATGGTTAATGTGGCACAACCAGCAATAAACCATCCCAGTGTCATGTTCCATCCAGCGGTATGTGGGGAATATGACGGAGAGACAACATATCATTGGTGAATGTAATGGGGATATCAGTAGGATGGTTGTGATATAAGTGGGACATGTGGTTTTTTTAACCATGAAAACTTGGTGATATTTTACATACAAGTGGCATAAGAAATCATATGCCAAATATCGATGAAATAGCAAGTTAATGAGGAAAGTAATGTTTTAAGAAATGGCACGGACTGTAACTATTTGGTGGTGAATGGATGGATTCGGAGCTAGGCGCATCCATATTCCTCGCGCATTTCGAGATGAGTCAAACACATGGAGAGAAGCCATAAGTTATGGCAAGTTTGAAAACGGGCCCAGTCTGGCAACACATTAACATTGTTTGGTGTTGATTGATGAATGTTGATTACATGCATGACGCACTTTTATCCCGCATATGGTTAAAATCATTTCATCACTCTCCGGTAATCTCGCCGTTTGCTAAGGAATTTCACCATTGTCAATAGGGTAAAAATGATTTGTATTCATTTGTTTATAGGCTGAGAGAGCGCTGGCAACAGAAAACTGTAAATGGGCAGTTTTCCTCGCTATGGAACAAATTACCAGGGGGTATTCCTTCTTGCTCCTTGTCATGGCATTTTTTCGGTGGTTTACGGGGAATCTCCACAAGTTTGTTTCAATCAACTTAGCACCATATGATCCGCATTTGATTTCCATTTTTCTCCTACATTGTCCTGTGTGATCCCATACAAGCATCATATGATACAACAAGAAAGGGGGTAATAAACAACAGTAATAGCAATAATAAGAAGAAAAGGAATAACAATAAGAATAATCGAAGGAAGTTTAGAAGTCAAACTTCCGACAATATGGACAGATGAAAAGCAGAGGTGGAGCAGAAGAATAGAGAAGAGAAGAGCAGAAGAGAGAAGATCAGAGAAGAGAGAGAGTCAGAAGAAAGAAGATGCAGGTGCGCGAAAAGGTAGGAAAGTCGCGAAACACTGCGTTATTCCAATGATTTGTGGCTCCAGAGGGTCGAAAAGTAGGCTCGCTAAAGCGGCGGGTGCGGAGCCATCTGCCCAGATGAGAGATGAAACATTGCACGCCGTTGTGGCGCGAAGCACATGTTGAAGTCAAAATGTACAAAACACACCAGGTTCGGACCACTTTTGGAAGTTGAGATGTCGAAAAAGTGCACGCCGTTGTGGCACGAAGCAAATTTCGAAGTCAAAATGTACAAAACACACCAGGTTCGGACCACTTTTGGAAGTTGAGATGTCGAAAAAGTGCACGCCGTTGTGGCACGAAGCACATTTCGAACTCAAAATGCACAAAACACTAGGGGTTCGGACCACTTTTGGAAGTTGAGATGTCGAAAAAGTGCACGCCGTTGTGGCGCGAAGCACATTTCGAAGTCAAAATGTTAAAAACACCACATGTTCGCCCCACTTTTGGACGTTCGGATGTCGTTTCGCGTGGCAGGCGCAAGGGATTGTGGACCTTGTCAAAAGTGAGCAAACGTGAGGGTTTTGTCGCCTTTCCAAAAAAGATGGCAGGCGTGGGACATTTGAAGAGGATCTGCAGTTTCCGTGGCAGGCGCAGTACAAGAGACATGTTCATCAGAGCTGTTAGGAGGTCCGGGCGCTGATTTCCGGAGACGGGTTGCATTTTGCGCATTTTGGAGCTTCAGATCTTCAGGTTTGCTGAGATGATTTTGCGTGACAGGTGCAGCACTTTCGTATGACCTGGCATCACTTTTTCGTGGCAGGCGCAGTAGTTTAGACAGATGGACTGGAAAAATCGCAAAACGCATTTGGTACGAGGCCATCAGCTCTGCACTCAACTTTCCATGTTTGAAGGACGTCTCGCAGAATTGCTTCGTTTTTGATGTTGTCAATTTAAAAAAAAAAAAAGGAGGTCTCGCAGAATTGCTTCGTTTTTGATAGTGTCGAGTCCAAAAATTGAGGCAGTCTCGCTGAATTGCTGCGCTTTTGATGCTGGCAAGTTTAAAAACTGAGGAAGTCTCGCAAAATAGCTTCGTTTTCAAGCTTGCAGATAGATAGATAGATAGATAGATAGACAGACAGACAGACAGAGAGATAGAGAGATAGAGAGAGAGAGAGAGACAGAGAGATAGATAGATAGATAGGTAGATAGGTAGATAGGTAGATAGGTAGATAGGTAGATAGGTAGATAGGTAGAATGGTAGACAGGGAGATAGGGAGATAGGTAAATTAGGTAAATTAGGTAGATTAGGTAGATTAGGTAGATTAGGTAGATTAGAGAGATTAGAGAGATTAGATAGATTAGGTAGATTAGATAGATTAGATAGATTAGATAGATTAGAGAGATTAGAGAGATTAGATAGATTAGATAGATTAGATAAATTAGATAGATTAGATAGATTAGATAGATTAGATAGATTAGATAGATTAGATAGATTAGATAGACTAGATAGATTAGATAGATTAGATATATTTGATAGATTAGATTGATTAGATAGTTTAGATAGACTAGATAGACTAGATAGATTAGATAGATTAGATAGATTAGATAGATTAGATAGACTAGATAAATTAGATAGATTAGATATATTTGATAGATTAGATTGATTAGATAGATTAGATAGACTAGATAAATTGGATAGATTAGATATATTTGATAGATTAGATTGATTAGATAGATTAGATAGATTAGATAGATCAGATAGATCAGATAGATCAGATAGATCAGCTAGATCAGATAGATCAGATAGATCAGATAGATAGGATAGATAAGATAGGTAAGATAGACAAGATAGACACGATAGATAGGATAGATAGGATAGATAAGATAGACAAGATAGACACGATAGATAGGATAGATAGGATAGATAAGATAGATAAGGAAGATAAGCTAGATTAGATAGATTAGATAGATTAGATAGATTAGATAGATAAGCTAGATTAGATAGATTAGATAGATTAGATAGATTAGGTAGATCAGATAGATTAGATAGATCAGATAGATAAGATGGACAAGATAGATAAGAAAGAAAGAAAGATAGATAGATAGATACATACATAGATACATAGGTAGGTAGGTAGGTAGGTAGGTAGTCAGAGAAAGAAAGAGAGAGAGAGAGAGAGAAGGAAGGAGAGAGAAGGAAGGAGAGAGAAGGAGGGAGAGAGAAGGAGGGAGAGAGAAGGAGAGAGAAAGAGAGAGAAAGAGAGAGAGAAAGAGAGAGAGAAAGAGAGAGAAGGAAGGAGAGAGAAGGAAGGAGAGAGAAAGAGAGGAGACCTCAAGCACCTTTCGGTCCATCAGCGGATTCGCTCTGCCATCCGTGATTCACAACAACCAAGCTCTCCTATAGGTTTCCTATTGCTACTACTGGTAATAATACTAATAATAAACAACCATCATAATCACAACTCCCACGTTGTCCCACATTAATGCCATATGTGTTCACCCTTCACCATGCCCCATGTCACTGGGTGGGTCCCAACGCTTCCAGGAGGTGGGCGTCTACAATGACAGCAAGGTCCTGGTGCGGCGCCTGATTTGTCTCCAGGGCGATGCCCAGAATATGTTAGACATAGAGAAGTTCCGGCTGGAGCTGCGCAACGCCCTGGCGGAGCCTGGTGGGGCCAGAGGTTGGGTGGAGATGGCTGGATGGTGGGGATTTAAAGAAACGGGGTAATTTCCGTGGGAAGCATGGAGAAATCACTAGGAAACATGGTGAGTTTAGCCCACAAAAAGTGATTTCAACTATATAGAAATGTTGGCTTTTTAACCAAGAAAAATGCCGATTTCACCAAGAAACATGGTGACTTCACCCAAAAAAAGGATTTAACCAGCAACAGTGAGGGATAAACCACTGGTATAATAACTGGATAAATTCTGTTCCGAGATCATTGATGGGAATTGGATGCCCTGCGGCGGCTCTATGACTGGAAAGGGTCCACCTGGGGACTTTTCGTTGGATGTGTCCTTTGTTGATTCTTGATTGCGCATGATTTTGTAGCAATCGGTTTTTGTACATGTATACTACACAAAATTGATATATGAAAAATATTCCAGAACTTTGATTTGGTCATATGTTCCATCTCCATTTTTGCTAGCATTTTTTATTTCAATCATCATCCAGCAATTTTCTGGGTTGGGATGTGCCAGGTCATCGCTTGGGTTTCCAACTCTACCAATGGAATGGTCTGGAACGATTGCGGTTGCAAGGTATGGATCTTGGCAAGGCCATAGCAAGCATCAGCAGGTTGTTTCGGATATGGATAGGTATAGTTTCAAGCGTTTGGTAGCATTCCCGATCCCATCCAAAATATCCAAAACCATGGTCAAATAGTCAAAGACTCAAAGACACAACACAATCAAAACGACACCTGAAGTCTATCAGTGGAGCCTTATCTTTATCTTTCCGGAGGCGGCGCAGGCGAATTGGCTGCCCAGCATGTGGAGTCTCATCCGCTTCAGCAAGTCCTTCTTGTGGCTGGCAGATCGGGTGGTTCAGCGCATGAACCACTCAGCGACCAGGGCCGGGTCACCAGAGGACTGGAGATTCAAAGCGGCCCATTTCCGATGGAGGACCAGTTTGGAAAAATAAACTGCAAAAAAAATGTTTCAACAAATATGTTCATTCCAATGTTGGTGATTGAGGAGGTACCAGGGCCCCGGATTTTCTTGGATCCATTTGGATCCCTTCCCGCCAATCGAGGAATTTTTCGGAGGAGGAAGGCGGTATTCCGTACAAACATCCTAGCGGGGGGCATGAGAAAAGTCAGAAATTTATGGCTGCCTTCTCTCTCCCAGATAAATACGCCGATGTCTTGCGGGGCTGTGTGCCTTCTGCCCTGCACTGTAGCGACGTTTTTTTGATGACGAATCTTCCAAGGGAATCCCAGCTATTAGCAAGTCTCCGTGAATCCTATGCCATGCTATGTAGCCAAGCGCAAGTGCACAGCATTACAGATGAGCTGCTTCCATCCTCCGACATCCAGGCGTTTTTCGAGATGTCAGAGCACAAAAACAGGAAAAGCTCCAATGTTTGGTCCAAACTTCACGGTTTTTTCCTGGAAGTGGCCATTGCCACCAGGGCCAACTACTTCTTGGGCTATGGATATGACATGGGAATCAAAGCTTCCGCTGTGTCGATGATCACCAGTCAGCTCCGAACCTTTGATGGTCGGGGCTACTGGTGCACCAGATGGGCCTTTGACCCCGACTGCAAGCAGCATGGCACCGAGGCTGGCTCTAAAACAACCGATGCGTTGAGTTATAGCTGTTGATGTTGCAGAGGCATGCAGAGGCTGCGAAAATCTTGGATCAAACGGGATGAGTCTACATTGTCTACATCATGAATCATCGAAGATCGAATCAACACTATCCTGGAGATGGCCGATGACTGCCATTGGCACCGAAGCCCCTGGACCCGCTGGACCCGATGGACGCGGTGGTGGACATGGGCCTGGAAGGATTGGCCATGACTCGATGGCTAGGGGAGAAAGGCAGCTTTGAAGCTGTGAGGTTGTTGAGAGCAGTCGCTGAGGATTTGGGGATGGGCTTTTCCTTTTCGTGATAGGTTGATACTAAACACAAGTTCTGAAATACGAGATTCAGGTAGATTCAGTAGAAATTGCCAAATCCAGTTCTCAATGGTTTTGAATGGACCATTTGAGCCCTTCCTCCAAAAACATGGTGATAGATTTTAAACGTAGAAACCTGTGAACATAATTGAAAAGCTATATTACCTGATATATGTTCATCACACCTTGGAAAGCTCATTAGAAACAAAGGAAAATCCCATTGAAACACACATATGTGAGGGGATCAGCATCCCTTTCCCAGGCAGGTGTGATATCCCTTGGAAATCCCAGGGTTATCCGTGAAAAAGCGCCAGGATCGGAGAAAAACGGCTCTGACCTCAGATCTCCCCTGTATTTGGTGAGTCGATCGTGTGGAGATGGGAGTAACCAACAAAGCATAACAAAGCTCCCAGGTGTTGTTGGAGTTTTGTTATGTTAATATGTTTTTATGGATAACTACTGTAGTTAACATGAAGTTAACATGAGTAACTATCTTTGTTGGAAGAACTGGCATAACAAGCTATGTGTGTTGAAAGTTTGCGTTAGCATGCATTAGTATATGTTGGTCATGTTTGTTTTGCGAGCTAGGTCACCTACGTTAACAATCAATCGGGTTGAAAGGTTATCGAAGGAAGTTTAGAAGTCAAACTTCCGACAATATGGACAGATGAAAAGCAGAGTAGGGCAGAGGCAGAGAGAAGAGAAAGATTAGAAGAGAGAAGAGTAGAAGAGAAAGAGTCAGAGGAAAGAAGATGCAGATGCGCGAAAAGGTAGGAAAGTCGCGAAACACTGTGTTTTTCCAATGATTTGTGGCTCCGGAGGGTCGAAAAGTAGGCTCGCTAAAGCGGCGGGTGCGGAGCCAGCTGGCCAGATGAGAGATGAAAAACTGCACGCCGTTGTGGCGCGAAGCACATTTCGAAGTCAAAATGTACAAAGCACACCATTGTCCGACCACTTTTGGAAGTTGAGATGTCGAAAAAGTGCACGCCGTTGTGGCGCGAAGCACATTTCGAAGTCAAAATGCACAAAACACTAGGGGTTCGGACCACTTTTGGACGTTGCGATGTCGAAAAAGTGCACGCCGTTGTGGCGCGAAGCACATTTGGAAGTAAAAAGTGTTAAAAACTGGCGGTCTCGGAGCACTTTTGGAAGTTGAGATGTCGAAAAAGTGCACGGCCTTGTGGCGCGAAGAACATTTCAAAGTCAAAAGTGTTAAAAACTGAGGGTCTCGGAGACATTTTGGACGTTCAGATGTCCCTTCGCTTCGCTTCACCACACTACATTACACTACACTACACTCCATTGCACTACATTACACTACACTACACGACAACACTACAACTACAACTACACTCCACTATACTAAATTACACTACACTACACTACACTATATTACACTCCACTACATTACATTACACTAGACTACACTACCTTCCACTACACTTCACTACATTACACTACACTCCACTCCACTACACTACAACTACAACTGCAACTACACAACTACACTCCACTACACTCCGCTACACTCCACTACACTAAATTACACTACATTACACTACATTCCACTACACTACACTCCACTACACTACATTACACTACACTACACTACCTTCCACTACACTCCACTACACTAAATTACACTACACTACACTACATTGCACTACACTACATTCCACTACACTCCACTACACTACATTACACTACACTACATTACACTCAATGACACTGCACCACAGATAGACAGGTAGAACAGATAGATAGATAGATAGACAGCTAGACAGCTAGACAGCTAGACAGATAGACAAATGAAAGCGAGAGAGAGAGAGAGAGAGATAGACAGACAGATAGATAGATAGACAGATAGACAGGTAGACAGCTGGACAGATAGATAGATGAAAACGAGAGAGAGAGAGAGATCGATAGATAGATAGATAGGTAGATAGGTAGATAGGTAGATAGGTAGATAGGTAGATAGGTAGATAGGTAGATAGGTAGGTAGGTAGGTAGATAGTCAGAGAAAGAGAGAGAGAGAGAGAAAGAGAGGAGACATCAATCACCTTTCGATCCATCAGTGGATTCGCTCTGCCATCCCTGATTCACAACAACCAACCTTTCCTATAGGTTTCCTATTTTTGAAACTTCCGCCACCGCCTTGTGCGGTACTACTGGTAAATGTATATAAATGTTGGAAAGCCGACAGGGCAATTTTAGTTATTGAATGTCCGACTTTGAAGGGTCAAAAAGTTTGACTGTTTGACTTGCTGATGCAAAGCTCTAAGTGGCATTTGTTTTGATGGCCTTGCTCTGTTGGAGTATGCTCCATTAAAAAAGCACCATGAATTTATGGAATTTCAGTGGTTGAAACTTTCATATATTATAGACAGGTAGTTCCACGCCGCTTGTTGTTGATGTTCGGCCTTGCATGGCCTTGGATCGCCTTGGATGGCCTTGGTGTGTCTTCAAACCTGTTGGGGCTTGGGGTGCCAAGTTCTGTCAACATCTTGGTATGGCTCAGTCGCCGTCAAGGTTCCCATGGATGTTATGCCTTCAGAGGTCGCAAGTGGTTCTTCAAGACCAGTGACAGAGTTGGGTCACTACTAGACAATATTGAAACATCGGTTTGCCATGCACATCATGCAACTTGGTCGAAAAGCACCTGGGCCGAAAAGGGTCACAAGACACTCTTTAAGCCAGCAAACATCCGCATGTGAGAACCCCAAGGACATGATCATTGGGAGATGGGCAGAGCGGCAGAAACAGATCATCCCCAAGAGTCCCAAACAACGATTGGCTGCTGGGATCATGTTTCATCCACAGCATTTCACCACCTTTTGTTGACTGCGGGGACTGCGGCCATGGCTACTCTGCACTCCATCGCTGAAGGACAAGTGCCCAGTGATGCGGAGGCCGCGAAACGCTTCATGTCCAAATTGATGAACACCTCAGTGACTTGGATTTGGATGATGGTGTTTGCTGGTTTTTGTTCACCCCATCAACTATAGATTGACATAACCCCGAGCCTAGTGATTGGAGTTATAATGCGATTTAGCTAACTATGGGGCCCCACCCTGTGATATAACCCACCATAACTTGGGAACCTACCCGGACTGTCAAATCAGCCGCCATCAGTCAGGTGAGAGCTCACATCGATGACGGCCGCATCATCAGTGGTCAACTTTGGTGCTTCGATCAGCTGAAAAACCTGATCCTACTGAGTGGCTATGAGACGCGGGCAGATTCCGAGGGGCATCAGAGTGAACATCGAGCCTTAGGTCCATTGATCCTGGTACCGGGCAAGTACATTCGCAAGTTGGAAGCCACCAAGAATTCCACAGAGGCCGCCATAGCTGCTGCAAATGAGAGCGAATTTGCATAGCACTTCTTGAGAGCCAAGAGGAAAAGGAAGAGTGTGAAATATCTGCTGCGAGATGCTGCGAGTTCTTGTGGAAGTTGGGGGATGCCGGGGGAATGTTGTGATAACTCCAACTAGAGAGCGTCGCTTAAATTAGCAGCCCATTTTTTCAGCCACAAATCTCGATACACATTGCTGCGCTGCTCGTTTGCCCAGGTCTTTGCAGATGCTTCAGATTCTGAGGCCAGCCGCAAGGAATTCAGCGCTTCAGAATGCTTCAGATATCTTCAGACCATCCATTCATGCGACATGGTTTTGTCCAAAAAAGGATGGATACCCAATATACCAAAATGGCAAGTTTCGTAGGGAAATGATGTTTTAAGCTGGAGGAGTTTGGGAAAGAAATGCCAATGTTTCAGACAGACCGGGTGGATGATAGGGTCCGCTGAAGCCTCCAGAGTCGCGAGAAAAAGCCCTTTGTGCTGATGCACGACCATTTTCTTAGCCTAATATGGGGACGGCTCCAAAGTTAAGGTTCTGGGTTTTCGTAGTTGTAGTTTTAGAGAATCCGACTCTTCTTAGCAAATTTAACGATATTTGATCCATTTTATCCCATGTTCATACTTTTATCCTACAGCTTTCTCAAGTCTCAGCTGCCAACCATGCTTCGTATTTGCAGCCCTTGGGCTCGCAGTTGATGTCCAAAACCGCGGGAAGCCGGGTCGAATAAGGCAGCCACACACAAGTGTAGGTCGGTGCCCCATGTTTCCCCCCCACAATTGGAGGTTTCCTGTGCAGAACTTTCCATCAAGAGTCAAAAAGGACACAACACAAGTAAAGCATGATAAAGCAAGTCTTTTCTGGAAAGAAGAGTCCCAAACATTTGACCACTGCACGGCTGAAATAGTGAACTCTCATTGTCTTTGGAATTATCCGGCTATAATATCTATAATCTGTGGATGATATACCGCCGAAGAGACGGCCCCACCTAGCTACATGAACAACTTTGACTCCAGCCCAGCCTGGACCAGACTCCCAGAGAGACCCACAGAAATTCTCCGAAAATCGGCCACAGCCTATGCGGGTTAGCCATGCAGCATCATCAGGCGGGGACGCAAACATGGCTTCCAGTCCTCATAGCATACCCGCGGATTTTCCAAGAGCCTTGAGGTTTTTGTGACATTGGCGGATGTCAAATGAGCCTTCAGAAGGTGCACTCCAATTCAGACAATCTCTTCTTGCTGATCATGCGCATGCGCACTTTATCATGATGGAATCATGATTGCACTTCGATGTTTGTTCCCTACAACCCAATTTTTCGGGCTAAATATCTCCACCTGAAAGCCAGGCTGGAGTTCCCATGATGCACAATCACCGGACCATGCAGCGCTCCATGCAGATGAGTGTAGGCAGTCAACAGGCTCGGTCTGAGAGAAGCTTGGGGGTGAAATGTTGAAACTTGTTGGTTGAAGAGAATTTCGCCGTGCAAAATTGTGATTTTAACAAGCAATAATGGATGTTTAGGCGTCATAAGAGGGGATGCGATCGGTGCATTCCCACAATTATGATTGGTTGAAGTCTAGCTTGACTATGCCAACTGGTTCTTTGGGGTTATGAACAAGAGCAAGATGCGAACCAACAACAGCCAACAGGATTGGGGATGATGGGTGCCTGGACAAGTGCAGGGCTGGGACTCCAGAACCGCCAGCTGCTGCTGTGTCACAAAGCTATATAACTTAAATCTGATTACCCGCTGGCAACCCCGTTTCACCATATGGTTGATATTGAATGAAATCGAACCTCACATTGCTGGTCTCCAAATTTCTGACCCGACTCGATATGTTTCCCTGCAAGCCCTAATAGCAGGCTATGGGCAACGCGCATCACCAGACCAGTGGATCCTTTGGATTCTTCGTTGCCGAAGGGGAGGGGTTGGGCATTGGTCAAGCTGAGACCCAGAAATGGTCAGAGTTTTTGGGGCGGCGCTAGATGTGCAAACACTATGGATCTCCTATTTTGAGAGATTTGTGGGTTTCTTAAAATATGGATCCACAAAACCATTGGTATAGCATGGGTTTTAATGCTAAAATGGTCTACTTTTGGATGCTTTGGGGTTATCCCCGTTGTGAGAAACCTCCATTGGTCCCTTTGAATAACTGGAGCGCTTCTGAAAAACGGACCATATTGCAGATCTGCGAGCCAGAGATCACCTTTCCCAGCTCAGGGGTAATTTCCAGCTCGCCTAGGAAGGGAAGATGACGAAAAGTCCTTGGTTTCCAGTTGCTTCGATCCAATGGTTCCGTCGTGGTGCGGTGCTTGCTCCAGAAGGGGAAGTAAGTTTTGCAGACGGAAATTGATAGGAAATATCTCCCTGCGGGACTGCGCGCTGGAATTTTCAGGGTCATGGTTGCATCGAAATAACCGGGCCAGCTGCCGTTTGCCGTTTCAATTTGCTGTAGTTTCTCTGCTTGGTGGCTTCATATTTACACGTGCATAGGCATACAACTATATATTGAGCATCAGTGGCTAACCACGCAAAGCTTCTCCTTAATTCCAAACAGCAAAATGTAAATGGCCCAACCTTGCTGATTCCCACCAGTCGTGGTTGGACATGTAGATACAACGCAGGCCCTTCCATGTCCCATTTTCGCCAGATTTGCACCAAGGCATCTGGTCTCATAGTGTGACAGTGGAAGCCACCCGCCAGGACCGACTTATTTGGGAGGCGCCAGGAACGTGGAAACACACTTCTGTTTCTGTCATCTCCAAGGCTCCTTGTTGGCATGTCCTTTCAAATACTTTCAAAATCTCTTTTGCTCATATGGTTGGGGGCGTACATTCAGTGAAACTTGGGGTCGGCTTTCCTCTCGTATGGTGTGGTGCTGGGTTGGCTATGTGCTTCTCCTGCCCTCGGCTTCTATTCACAGCGCTCTAACACGATACCGGCAACATCGGAAACTGCTTTTGATAGGGCCTCTTTGCATCAGCGGACCGAATATTCCTTGGATCATCCTCTGACCCTATGCAAGCGGGCCGAATACTGGAAGAGGCGCCTTTTGGATGTGAATTCTGTCAGCAGAGATGTATTGTTATTGAAATGACCCGCTTACTATTACTATGTAAATACTATGTAAATGGGTCGGAGAAATGGAGCACTTTGTGGACATCTTGTCTACCCTGGTGGTGCGGCTTTTTTCATTTGGCTCTAGCTTAGCTGAACTCTGCGAGAAGGCGATGGAGAAGATGGATTGGATGGATGGATATGGATATGGATATGGATATGGATATGGATATGGATATGGATATGGATGGATATGGATGGATGGATATGGATGGATACGGATGGATATGGATGGATATGGATGGCTGGTTGGATGGTTGGTTGGATGGTTGGTTGGATGGTTGGTTGGATGGATATGGATGGTTGGTTGGATGGTTGGTTGGATGGTTGGTTGGTTGGATGGATATGGATGGATATGGATGGTTGGTTGGATGGTTGGTTGGATGGTTGGTTGGATGGTTGGATGGTTGGATGGTTGGTTGGATGGTTGGTTGGATGGATATGGATGGATATGGATGGCTGGTTGGATGGTTGGTTGGATGGTTGGATGGATATGGATGGTTGGTTGGGTGGATATGGATGGATGGATATGGATGGATGGATATGGATGGATATGGATGGATATGGATGGATATGGATGGATGGACATATCCATAGATTGATAGATAGACTATCCCTGGTCATTAGACCTCTATAAAATGCCCAACATTTAAGGGGTATAAAATGCACATTCTATGTCAAAAACTAGGCACTTTATACGCCTGGGACCCCCCTAGGACCAACACTAAAAGTAGTATAAAATGCATCTTCTAGGACATGAAAGTGAGGAGATTTTTGTGCATTTCATACTGAATTTTGATTGTTAGGGTGCTATCATAAGATAGATCGAGGATAAGTGGAGGAAGCATTTTATACTGAGGAACTAAGGGTGATAGGAAAACCTTTCAAGAACATATCATGACCCGAAAGGAACATTTTATACAACATTTGGGTCGGTTTCCCCCATGATACCTCATAGATTCAGTTGACTTGGATGGAGAGAAACAGGCATTATATACGAACATGAGTCGACCACAATCACTTCGCTGATCCTCGCTGCCTGCCTCGGTAAAACAACAGATGGCTCAGACATGTTCAGTTTGAACATATCTGACAATGAGCCAAACAATGCCAAACATAGCCAAACATAGCCAAACCATGATCATGAACAAACCAAATTGCATCAAATTGCCAATCCAAAACAATCCAATACAGGGAATTTTGAAACATTTTGAAACATAAAACGCTCACACATGACACAGGACATATCAGAACACATTTTTTGACCGCTTTGGAATTTAGATTTTGTGCCTTCGAGCACCATGCCAAATCTCGGGAAAGAGCTGAAAGTGCGCCAGCACGGAGCGTCTGCTGGAGTAATAGACAGCCCTGACCTCAAAGTTTCATATTGGAAAGAAAAACCTTTAAACAATTTTTAAAAAAATAAAAGTATATAGTTCGAAATTTGAGGGATGTCCCGGCCCACTTGTCGCCATCTGAGGCTACTACTACATCGACCACCTGAAGTTCAACAGCAAGACTGCTGCTGAACAATGGATGATCTCGCAGGGGATGGAAGTTCCTGAGGCCAATATTGAGGGATGATACATGGGAAATTACACATGGGATGGCTACTGCTTTCAAAAAAACAAAAGCAATCCCAAATATACATGTACAATATTCTACAATCCTGTGCATATTTTCCTAGCAACCCCGATGTTTTCCCAGAATTCCCAACCATCCATGACCATCCGAATATTTTCTGGATTGCACATGCAGGTTTGGCCCAACTACCTGACCGTCCTCAAAAAGAACCCCGATGCTTTCAAGAAAGGCGGCAAAGCAGGTGCCAATGGCCTATGTCATGGCTTCATGTGCACCAAAAAAATATTCAAGATATCTCAGGACTCAAATTTCTGGACTCCAACATTGTTTGGACATGTTTGGACTGCATCACAACAAAGTCGGCACAGTAAATCGAAATCTGTAAATACATGTAAATACCATTAAGTACTTTTTTTTTAGTTGCATCCAACCTTGCAGCTGGAGATAGATGATATTTCCAGGCAAGCCTGCTGCAAAGAAACCTGGCAGACCAAAGAAAACGTGCAAGTCTGAAGGCCATACATATCATTTTGGTGGGACAATGTCAAGGGACAAGGGATGTCAAGGGATCGGTTTGGTATTTTCACCATCTTGGGAATGTTTGGGTGAGTATGAAATGCCCAGTTCCAACTGTATGATTTCAAATTCATTACTATACCCCACCTGTCACCTGGATGTTGCATTTTATAGGGTGGATATAAGGGGTTGTCTTGTGGGACATGCAGGGTCTGTGGTCGGCAGATGTGGATCTTTGTTTAGCTGCCAGGTACCGAGAGTACAGCAGGGGCTGGACTCAAAAAGGAACCTGCAGATGGAGATGGAGGCATTTGGGGTGCTTTGTAATTCTTTGTGTAGGGTTGCCCCAGATCTCTCTGAACCAGCAATTCCCAAACCTATGACATGCCCGGGTGCAATGGGATGGCTTCAAAGTCATCACAATACCCCACCTGTCACCTGGATGTTGCATTTTATAGGGAACTGTTTGGGGGGATGCAGGGTCTGTGGTTGGTAGATGTTGAATGATGTTGGATGATGTATGGAAGTTTTAGACATTGATGCACTTTTTCATGGAAATATAATGAATTAATATGAATATAATTGAATATATATATATATAATTATATATATATATATATTAATTATATGGCTAGTACATTCATGTACATGCATGATCATACATGTATTTGCTAGATTTTGCTAGTATGGATTTCCAGATGATTCCAGATGTTGATTTAATACGACTTAATTATATGATTATATATGATTATCATATGACATTATGTTGCTGCACCTAGCTGCCAGGTACTGCAAGTGCAGCAGGGGCTGGCCTCAAAAAGGAACCATCCAGTGGAGGCATTTCGGGGACTTTGTGGAAGGTTACCCAACACCGCCTATAAAATGCCCGGGTGCAATGGGATGGCTTCAAAGTCATCACAATACCCCACCTTTCACCTGGATGTTGCATTTTATAGGGGGCTGTTTCGGGGGACTAGCAGGGTATTGTTTGAGAATGTCTGAGATATTCTGAATGTCTGAGACTGATAAATATTTATAAGATTATATAAGTACAATAACAAAACACAAAGTATTATGAATTACCCATGAGATCCCATGAGATTGCTTGAAGATTGCTTGCCTCCAGATCAATATTTTTGTTCAAGAACTAGGTTGTAATCGAGGTAAAGCAGCAACACTCGGTCAGCCACTGATCAATCCTTAGTGCTCTTGGCCATGAAGATGAGCCTCGCCAAGATGCTTGCCATGTGGGCTGTGTTGGCTAGCATTTTTTTGGCCCAGGGTGCCAAAAGTCGTTACGAGGACGCATCAACTGGCCTTCTTGAGTCAGATTGGTATGTCGCGGCTCAGGATCTCCCAATGCTCAATGACTTTTGCGAGAATTGGGAAGGTCTTCAACATGCCCATGTCTTCGACCTGTTCAGCCACTCCAAACGTGTCTGCCAGGCTTTCCAAAGAAAGGGCTTCCGAGGACTTACCTTCGATATTCGTTCATGCCATTATGAGGACATATTGTCCAAGTCTGGATTCCTTCTGGCGCTGCAGAGCGCACTTGAGTTCTCAGACTCTGCTTAGTATATTTTTTTCTGCTTAAAATCACACTGCCCATTGTTTCCCAGAGTTTTGTTCATCATCCTCTGAATTCCTTTGAGCTATTGCATTGTTGGCAGGCTGTGCGAGCACGGACTCCTGATGGTGGCACCTCCATGTTCGCTGTTTGTTCCAATTTCAGCATCAGTACACAGGAGAAAAGCAACTTTGTCAAGAGCCAATAATAATTTTATGATATTTTATGTCCTTTCCAATTTCGGCGTGTCTGCTTATGGGTCCATGACATCAAGTTCATTTAAGCTTTATATGCATGGGGATCTACCGTTGAACCAAGGCTGAGCAACCTTATGGGAACATAAACAACAAGCGAGTGAGAATGTCTACCCTCATTGCCCAGAATTGTGGAATCCTGATCAGCCTCATTTTGTGCTGGCGACCGACCATCCGGCTGATTGTTGAGCAGCCAAAGGGTTCTATGCTTTGGAAGCTGCCAACCTTCGTTTCCTTGATTCAAGCGTTCGGTTTGAGCTTTGTGCTCACCTACTTGGGTTTTTTCGGAATGGATATCCTCAAGGGAAGCCACCTGCTAACCAATATGGAGCAGCCTGGGCAGAGCATAGTCTGTAAATGTTTGTAATTGAATGTGTTTAATTGTTTAGTATGCCTTCTATAGTCTGGAATGGTGTTCAATGTTCTCAACAAACATGATATTTTTAGCATTTTTTTAGCTGCATCTCAGGCAAGCAGGTGCGCTTGCACGCAGAGCAACCAAAGAGGCGAAGCAGAAGTTCATTGCCCGGGTGAATTCCAAGTTCGAGAAGCGTCATGCGGCAGGTCGTCGAGCTAAGGTGTACTACACCTGTGGCACTAATGAAGCCGGTAAGAAGACTTTTACTGGGGGCAAAGATTTGGGATCAACATCGTGCTATCCAAAAAGGTTTGCCCGTGCCATTTTTGCTGTGTGGCATAAATATTACCAATTGGCTACCAGCAATGATCAGGAGGGCCAATAAAATAATGGCCATCCTGCAGTAATTGAGACCCGCTTCGGCGCTGACCCGCTCAAATTGCGGTGCCATTTTATTTCCAGCTATGTTTCCAAGTGTTACCTTTGCAATCCTTTGCATACCTTTGCCTTGTGTTCAGATGTTTCCAGTAGCTACAATGCTATGGATAGAAGATGTGAATTGCTCTGTTCCGTCCAGAAAGCGGAGGACAAACAAACCTGCGCATGTCAGCATGGGGCATCATGGGGCCATATGGGGCCTGATTTTGTGAGCTTGGGGCCAGTTTGGAAAACAGTGGAATGTGAACACATGCAATGGTTCATAGGTGGATGAAATATGATACACAATTTATTTTGTCTTTGTAGACATGTTTGTAGTCTCTATTTGATAGGCTATGATTTGCTTCCTTCATTTTTTGGTAACTTTTGTTCATCGGAGACAATCTTGCAGGACCTGGATGATGCATTATAGAAAAAATACCGACCATCAAAACACCACCATCCAAAACCCGACCTTCAAACACAGCTGCCAGGTGGAGATGAAGGTGTGCCTTCAGCTGGACAAGTTGATGCTGCACCTATTGCTCCGGTGACTTCGGGAGAAGGCACCTGCAACATTTTGGGGGCCCGGGGGTACCCTGTAAAATGCTATAAATTGATTCTTCCAGGTTATTTGCAAGACCCTCTCATTGGGATGTTTTGTAGGGACCTGGATGATGCATTTTATACAGAGATTTTTCCCCAGTAGGCGGTCCAGAGATGCCCGGAATATCCATGAATATCCCAGAATAAGGATGAATTGGGGGGATGACAAATAAATTTAGCTGACCTTCAAATCCCGACCTTCAAACACAGCTGCCAGGTGGAGATGAAGGTGTGCCTTCAGCTGGACAAGTTGATGCTGCACCCAGTGCTCCAGTGAATTCGGGAGAAGGCACCTGCAGGTTTCACATTTTGGGGGCACCCTGTAAAATGCTATAAATTGATTCTTCCAGGTTATTGGCAAGACCCTCTCATTGGGATGTTTTGTAGGGACCTGGATGATGCATTTTATACAGAGATTTTTCCCCAGTAGGCGGTCCAGAGATGCCCGGAGCATCCCAGATATAAAAGAATAATGACAAATATTGACATATATATTTACAAATGATGACAACTGTAATGATATGCAATTGAATGCCATTGAATAATATTAAAATACATATATTAAATAAATATTATATACATGATATTGAAACATATAGAGATGTAACATGATGTAACAAGATATGTAGAATATAGATGAGTATTGTAGACATCCTATTAAAGAACATGACAACATAGAGATACATAGAGAACAAGCCAACTTCCAGGTGGAGATGCCATTCCCGCTAGTGAAACTGCTGAGGTGGCAGGCGAATGGTTACCGGATGTTACCGGAGCATGTTTGGGGATGTGCTGGGCTTTGAATGACTCTTGTTCTTTTTTTGGATGGGGGTCTATGCTGGATGTGCTGGGGACATCTGGGGACAATGCAGCATTTCTATGATTTTATAAGTATTTCATAGTAGTTCGCAGCATTTCTATGATTTTATAAGTATTTCATAGTAGTTCTTATTATCTGGATGAACATGTATCATCTGTCTAGTTCCTTTTGAATCATATTGAGATATATTGAGAATGATTGAGATATATTGAGATATATTGAGATATATTGAGATATATTGAGCAGATTCCCCCTTCAAATTCATGGAGGTTCCCCAATGTTCCCCCATGCAGTGTGAATATGATTGAATATGTGGGAAACTTGCCCATTTTGCAGGTGATCCTTCAGCTGGACAAATTGATGCTGCACCTATTGCTCCGGTGACTTCGGGAGAAGGCACCTGCAGGTTTCACATTTTGGGGGCCCGGGGGTACCCTGTAAAATGCTATAAATTGATTCTTCCAGGTTATTTGCAAGACCCTCTCATTGGGATGTTTTGTAGGGACCTAGATGATGCATTTTATACAGAGATTTTTCCCCAGTAGGCGGTCCAGAGATGCCCGGAATATCCATGAATATCCCAGAATAAGGATGAATTAGGGATGACAAATAAATTTAGCTGACCTTCAAATCCCGACCTTTAAATACAGCTGCCAGGTGGAGATGAAGGTGTGCCTTCAGCTGGACAAGTTGATGCTGCACCCAGTGCTCCGGTGACTTCGGGAGAAGGCCTATGCAGGTTTCACATTTTGGGGGCACCCTGTAAAATGCTATAAATTGATTCTTCCAGGTTATTTGCAAGACCCTCTCATTGGGATGTTCTGTAGGGACCTGGATGATGCATTTTATACAGAGATTTTTCCCCAGTAGGCGGTCCAGAGATGCCCGGAATATCCATGAATATCCCAGAATAAGGATGAATTGGGGGGATGACAAATAAATTTAGCTGACCTTCAAATCCCGACCTTCAAACACAGCTGCCAGGTGGAGATGAAGGTGTGCCTTCAGCTGGACAAGTTGATGCTGCACCCAGTGCTCCAGTGAATTCGGGAGAAGGCACCTGCAGGTTTCACATTTTGGGGGCACCCTGTAAAATGCTATAAATTGATTCTTCCAGGTTAGGCAAGACCCTCTCCTGGATGATGCATTTTATACAGAGATTTTTCCCCAGTAGGCGGTCCAGAGATGCCCGGAGCATCCCAGATATAAAAGAATAATGACAAATATTGACATATATATTTACAAATGATGACAACTGTAATGATATGCAATTGAATGCCATTGAGTAATATTAAAATACATATATTAAATAAATATTATATACATGATATTGAAACATATAGAGATGTAACATGATGTAACAAGATATGTAGAATATAGATGAGTATTGTAGACATCCTATTAAAGAACATGACAACATAGAGATACATAGAGCACAAGCCAGCTTCCAGGTGGAGATGCCATTCCTGCTAGTGAAACTGCTGAGGTGGCAGGCGAATGGTTACCGGATTTTCCGGAGCATACCGGAGCATGTTTGGGGGATGTGCTGGGCTTTGAATGATTCTTGTTCTTTTTTTGGATGGGGGTGTATGCTGGATGTGCTGGGGACATCTGGGGACAATTGCTAACTTGCACAAAGGACTTTCGGACTTGGTTTCTGGTGTAATGCGCTGGTCCAAGATGGGTTTTGGGTATGTGCAAGGCAGATTTAACTAAGACGGTGCATGCAAGGGCGCAAGTGTGATTGCTGCTTCCTTGTCCCGTTTGAAAACTTTGCAGTGTTCCAGCTTGGCTTGATGTGGGTCCCTATGGGGCGGGGTTCCATGGAGGTCTCTGGGCGAACCTGACCGCATCATAAGGATCCTTATGATGCAATGAACGCAATTTCCTTTGAAAGGGGTCCTTGGGGTGAAAGGGGTCCGCGCGCGCGCGTGAATGGCTTTCATTTTTTGAGACCTTGCGCGCGCGCGCGGACCCCTTTCACCCTGAGGACCCCTTTCAAGAGAAATCTTCTTAATGGTTTCTTTGCGTGTCAGTTGGGCCAATGCTGGGCCAATGTTGGGCATCTGGGGGTCCAAGTGAGGAATTTTGAGGCCTAGTTGGGCCATGGAAGGCTGCAGTTGAGTCGTTTTTGGCAGGTATATTTAATATACCTGGCTGGAACCTTCTAACTTGAGGCTTTGATGGGACCAACTTGAGGCATTTTGAGGCCTAGTTGGGCCATTCACGCGCAAGGTCTCAAAAAATGAAAGCCATTCACGCGCGCGCGCGGACCCCTTTCACCCCAAGGACCCCTTTCAAAGGAAATTGCGTTCATTGCATCATAAGGATCCTTATGATGCGGTCAGGTTCGCCCAGAGACCTCCATGGAACCCCGCCCCATAGGGACCCACATCAAGCCAAGCTGGAACACTGCAAAGTTTTCAAACGGGACAAGGAAGCAGCAATCACACTTGCGCCCTTGCATGCACCGTCTTAGTTAAATCTGCCTTGCACATACCCAAAACCCATCTTGGACCAGCGCATTACACCAGAAACCAAGTCCGAAAGTCCTTTGTGCAAGTTAGCAGGGACAATTCAGCATTTCTATGATTTTATAAGTATTTCATAGTAGTTCTTATTGTCTGGATGAACATGTATCATCTGTCTAGTTCCTTTTGAATCATATTGAGATATATTGAGAATGATTGAGATATATTGAGATATATTGAGCAGATTCCCCCTTCAAATTCATGGAGGTTCCCCAATGTTCCCCCATGCAGTGTGAATATGATTGAATATGTGGGAAACTTGCCCATTTGGCAGGTGATCCTGAAGCTGGACAAATTGATGCTGCACCTACTGCTTCGGTGTCTTCGGGACAAGGCGCCTGCCGGTTTCAGATTTCAGGGCCACCCTGTAGAAGGGTTCTAAAAGAATCCTATAAATTGATTCTTCCATATTCTTCCAGGTTATTTGCAAGACCCTCTCATTGGAGATGTTTTGTGGGGACCTGGATGAAGCATTTTATACCGTTTTTTGGGGGGGAGATCTTGTTGGCTCCTGTAAGGTCTTGTGGCTTGAAAATGTGTGGAATAAATCCACAGCAACTGTAACTTCATTGTATGAAACCTGATGCATGATGATGCATGAGCTCTCAAGTTTCCTGCAAGTGCTTAGCCCCCTGAATTGCTTTCTCTCTGTCTCTTCGCCTCAATGGATGACATTTTCATTGTCCTCTTCTGCTTGGTACCCATGGCCATGGATTCCTTTGTGACCATTGTTTTTCAACAATGCTGCTTGAGACCAAAGCAACCCAAGAAGAAGTGTGAGGAACAATGCAGCAAGACTACGACGTGCCTGTCAAGTGATTCTGTGCTGGCATCAAATACTACACATGTGTATGTTCCAACCAAGGGCAACAAGATCCATCGCACACCAACCTGTTCGGGGATGAAAAATCCCCAGCAGTTGCAGCTTTGTGCAAAATGTTTTGGATGAACAGATGTCCAGCTGAAGGCACACCTTTATCAATGGCGTGACAGGAGAACTCATGCAAAGACAATGTAAAAACATTGTGGATCCAAAGAGATTACAGGATCATCGGGCAGAGAAATGGGGGGCAAAAGGTGAGCTGGCTAAACACAAAGATGTGAAAGTAAATGTACATCCACCATGCACATCCATGCACAGGAAATACATAGAAAATCATAGAAATACATGGGTGAAATATATAAGTTAACATTGACATACATTGACATACAACATGTCACACCATGCAACAGCAACACACAGTGTAGCTGCACAATGCTGTACATGTGTTATCATGTGTTGATCAATCCCATGAGGGTTGATGAGCTAGGAACCCCTCCCCCCTGTGGTGTCCTATGCAGTACTGCTACCTGCTCTCCCGGCCAGGCTGTGATGAAGATCGCCCTCAGGGACACCCAGAAAATCCGAAGAGCCCAGTGCAGCCCAGCCAGTCAGGAGCTTTGGGGACCCTGTGATACCCTGCGTGTAGTACCAATGGAATTCAGATGAATTGAGATGAATTGAGGGTTTTTCAGTATAAAATGTACATTCCAACATTCTTACCCGGTACCTAATAATAATAGGGATTCATCACCTCGATGGAGCATTTTATACACAAGTTTTTTGGGCATTTCCGGGATTTTCCGGGACCCCTGTGTGAATTCCTGCAATTTTACCGTATTTTCCTATATTTTCCATATTTTCCCTTATTTTCCCCAGTGCATCAAAGATCATCAAAGATGGTAATGCAAATATACATCCACCATGCATATCCATGCACAGGAAATAGATAGAAAATCAGAGACATACATGGGTGAAATACATAAGTTAACATTGACATACATTGACATACAACATGTCACACCATGCAACAGCAACACACAGTGTAGCTGCACAATGCTGTACATGTGTTATCATGTGTTGATCAATCCCATGAGGGTTGATGAGCTAGGAACCCCTCCCCCCTGTGGTGTCCTATGCGGTACTGCTACCTGTTCTCCCGGCCAGGCTGTGATGAAGATCGCCCTCAGGGACACCCAGAAAATCCGAAGAGCCCAGTGCAGCCCAGCCAGTCAGGAGCTTTGGGGACCCTGTGATACCCTGTGTGTAGTACCAATGGAATTCAGATGAATTGAGATGAATTGAGGGTTTTTCAGTATAAAATGTACATTCCAACATTCTTACCCGGTACCTAATAATAATAGGGGTTCATCACCTCGATGGAGCATTTTATACACAAGTTTTTTGGGCATTTCCGGGATTTTCCGGGACCCCTGTGTGAATTCCTGCAATTTTACCGTATTTTCCTATATTTTCCATATTTTCCCTTATTTTCCCCAGTGCATCAAAGATCATCAAAGATGGTAATGCAAATATACATCCACCATGCATATCCATGCACAGGAAATAGATAGAAAATCAGAGACATACATGGGTGAAATACATAAGTTAACATTGACATACATTGACATACAACATGTCACACCATGCAACAGCAACACACAGTGTAGCTGCACAATGCTGTACATGTGTTATCATGTGTTGATCAATCCCATGAGGGTTGATGAGCTAGGAACCCCTCCCCCCTGTGGTGTCCTATGTGGTACTGCTACCTGCTCTCCCGGCCAGGCTGTGATGAAGATCGCCCTCAGGGACACCCAGAAAATCCGAAGAGCCCAGTGCAGCCCAGCCAGTCAGGAGCTTTGGGAACCCTGTGATACCCTGTGTGTAGTACCAATGGAATTCAGATGAATTGAGATGAATTGATGGTTTTTCAGTATAAAATGACAAATCCAACATTCTTACCCGGTACCTAATAATAATAGGGGTTCATCACCTCGATGGAGCATTTTATACACAAGTTTTTTGGGCATTTCCGGGATTTTCCGGGACCCCTGTGTGAATTCCTGCAATTTACTATATTTGCCCCAGTACATCCCAGTACCTAATGACAATAGAGGGTTTGTCACCTCGATGGAGCATTTTATACACAATTCTTTTTGGCGGCATTTCCGGGATTTTCCGGGACCCCTGTGTGAATTCCTGCAATTTTACCCTATTTTCCCCATTACCTAATGACAATAGGGGGTTCGTCACCTCGATGGAGCATTTTATACACAATTCTTTTTGGATCTTTTTGGCACTCATGTGTGAATTCCTGCAATTTTACCCTATTTTCATCATTTTTCATCTATTTTCCATATTTTTCCATTATTTTCCCATATTTTCCCCAGTATATCCCAGTACCTAATGCCAATAGGGGTTCATCACCTCGATGGAGCATTTTATACACAAGTTTTTTTCGGCCTTTGGGCAGGAATGTGGACACCCGAAAAATCTGCACGACCGACTTCAGAGGTTGCAAGATTCCAAAGAATTGGGGACCTCAACCTGAACTTCGAGAAAATGCTGGAGTCTCATGACGCAGCTCAATCATTTCAGATGCCAAGCAGCCCAGTGACTCCCAAAAAACCAGGAGAACTGTCAACAGAAACAGTGTATTTAAATCTGTATGGATATGGGATGATATGGGATGATATGGGGAAAGAATCATTCCCACAGACACAAGATTCACATGGTTTCAGTCTTATGTTTTTCATTTTTTTCCGTATAAAATGGCAATCCCATCCAAAAAACATATTACTTAAGATCGTTGGGTATTTGGCACCCCGATGAAGCATTTTATACATAATTGGTTAGATTTCTTCTGTGGATTTGCGGGATTCCCATATAACTATAATGGTTCACACAGGTTCTCATCAACTATATCTGGAGATATGAATTCACTACAATGCCTGTTTTGCAGCTCATCCAGCATGCATGCAGGAACAAAAGTGGATCCACTGATGGCTCATGTGAAGAAGGAATCCAAGTGTTCCTTTCGAGTTAAACAGGAGCCTGGCAGCCAGAACCCGGACACAGGTGTGTTGAAGCGCATCCAGGATAGAGTGAAGACTTTGCGGACGGATGGGGTGTATTTGGACCTTATGGATTTGTTCATCTTTGCTGAGAACAACCACAAGGTGCACCCACTATTTTAGAATGTTTTTTGTTTTCTATTTGAAACAAGAAGGTTCAGGAGTATTGCGTTTTTGAATCGTTTATGGAGTAAAATTTGGTGGTTGGACGATTTTTCACCATTTATTCCAATATGCAAGCTGGACAAATCACCCCACCATAATGCACCAGGACATCAATATCCTCACCCATCAGCCTGACGGTATCCATGAGCAGACCCTGGCTGATACACTTTCATCCCTGGTGCCAGACTTTGAGTCTTCCAGAGACAAAGGGGAACGGACAGTTTGGAGAATCCTTTTCTGTGCAGCCGACTACCAGAAGGGTGACCTACAAGGTGGAATACCAAGTTCATATCAACATTTTACTACTTTCCTTATTATGTTTCACTTGGATGAAGCATTTTATAGGCTCCCGAATGTTTACTGCGGAAATGTGTGGGTGATATTTTGAAATAGTTTGGTCCCTTTATATGCCGCGAGGTATGAATCATTTCGTACCTGTATGGACACATGCTGAAGTTGGAGAACATGTGGTTGCAGAGATAGACAGATACATGGAGGAAAGGATCCAAAAGTGTGTTCAGCAGAGATCTGACCTTGCACAGAAAATTGCCCAACAGACCTGGGACGCATCCGCAACAGAATTAGATCCAATGGCTGTGGTGGTGCTGACAAGTCAAATGACAGAGATTAGCCAGCACCTGGCTAAGCTCATGAATTTCCAGGTTCTCCAGGAGTGGCTCAAAGAGCATGACCTTGTGTCTTTGCCAGCCCGTGGCGATGGCAACTGTGGGCTTCATACCTTGCTGCCCCTGTCTCTTGGAGACCCTTTGTCGGAATTCGAAATGCTAGAGAATGAAAGGAAAATTTTGATTTCATCCATGCGAAGTGCAATTGCCGACTTTTGGACCCAAGCTTCCTCCAAGAGTGAATGGCTACATGTATACCATACGATTATTGATATCTTTGACACAGAACCAGGACTGGCCAATGAAGAGCCGCCACTTCCGCCTCCCAAAAAGGAACCGATTCTGACACCCCAGAAAAGGCAATCTTGCATTCCTGAAGTAATTGACTTGTGCCAAGACTCAGAACCACCAGTGCTCAACCAAGAGCCACCACTTCCGCCTCCGAAAGAGGAACCGCCTCAGACACCCCAGAAGAGGAAATCTTGCATTTCTGAAAGCATTGACCTGTGCACCCCGCCTCGTGTACAAAGTGTAGGTGCCACCCGTTCAGCTATGAGCCAAGATTCAAAACCACTTTCATCGGATGTGCAGCAGCAGTTGGTGTCTCAGCTGGAATCTGGACCACCAGAAGCAGAAAAGCCCAAGGGACGGAACCGAGGAGGACGCAAGAGACAGAAGCAACCTTCCAAGCCTGAGCCTGAACCAGCTGAGGGGCCTTCCGGACCTCAAGAAGAACAAACAGCAGAAAAACATGTGAGGATTAGAGCTGTCCAAAAACGATTAGTGACCTTGCAAGACAGGAAGCTGGAGATACTCAAGAATTACTTAGCCTCCCTCAATTTGAATTGGAGTGCCAGTCAGCGGTTTCATAGTACGAACCAAATAGGCAAGCATTCCCAGGCATGCAAATCAAATCGTGGCTTCTGTGTGATGCAAGCACGTTTGATCGAGTTGAAGATGCCAGAGTGTTTGACCTGTGTTGCCCTGCTGCATTCTGTCGAGTTTGACATGGAGAAGTTGGAAAAATTGATGAAGGAGTGTGAGAATCCTGATGGTGAATTTCCATCTCCGTTTACCAGAATGAAGCGAAAGGCCAACAGCTTGCAGAGTGATGGCCAAAGTCACTGCGAACCAGCTGCCATTGTTGACGATGTGAAAGTGAACCCAGACATGAATCCAGCACAAAATTGCACAAATGCCGAACCGGAGCAAGGAGTAGACCATGGGTTCTGTACAATTTGCCTCCAGTGTTTGGTAATTTCTCATATTTAGGCAGTGGCTACTTTACGACCTGGATGATGCATTTTATACAGACATTGCTGTGCAATGCAGCTGCTGCAATTATAAGCCGGGGGAATGTATAAATTGGTGCTTCTGCACAAAAGTTCTAGGCTAGATGGATTGGTTGGATGTCATACTAGATGGAGCAATTTATAGGGTGAACAAATATATAGATATATGATGATATATGATCATATAATATCATATATGAGCATATATGAATAATTATGAAAACATATGAAAACATATAATTATATAATAATATATAATATTATTATTGGCCCCTGCAGGAGATGAAGAAGGCAAACCAGAAGAAGATGCGACAGCAAAGGCTGGCAGAAGGCCGCGCCGGTTTGAACGCCTTAGTTTGGAGACATTGTCGCTTTTGGGTCAGCTGAAATGTTTTGAGGTGTTGCCAGCAGGGACAGCAGGGAGGGCCAGGCCAGTGCGCTGTCTGGCATGCACTTCCAAGAAGCAACCGGGTGGCAAGATTTTTGATCTCACTCTGGGAACCAACAAAGATGCCCGACACTTCATCCGCCAACACTGCAAAGGCCCTGAACATGTAGGTTCCTTTGATGAATGGATAGGATCGCAACAGAAACCAGAGAAAGCAGCCGATGATGACTTGCCAGAGTCAAACAAGCCAGAGGAGAAGGAACCATATCAGCCGTGTACAGGATTTTCCTTGACACACAACGGTGGGAGACATGCAAAGTTCAGAGCTGAAATTCAACTTTGGGCCCATTTTACCGATCTCAAAACCCCCTTGGCCAAGCACAAGTATATCTGGGACCTGAAGACCCAAGAATTGAAGGTGTTCCACGAAAAATGCCCGGGCGTTGCACGTCCTCATCGTTTGATGCCTGACCGCCAACCTGTTTGCAATTTGTGTGCAGAAGTGGACAGGGCTCAGAACTTGCTGCGGAATATGATCAAATTTGCAAACAAACATTGGATGGCCAGATTGTTGGAAAGCCGTTTGTTTTGGTCTGATGAGCAGCAAGAAGAATTGCTGGGACAGTTCAGAGAAACCTTTCTCTACAAATCAGCGAAGTCAAAATACGATGAAAAACTGTCCATTTCCAACGAAGAATTGCAAGCTGAGGTTCGCAAATCATTTAGCAGATTTCCACCAGGTTACACGAGTGACATGCTGCGGAACTTCATTAACCGTGTGGTTCAGCCCTGCCTATCTGTGAATGTTTCGGACTGCAATTCAGAGCTTCGTGAACTGACCTGCATGTTCCAGGCCAAGCTGGTGTCAGGGAAGTTGTCAGAGTTTTCAGAACTTTGTGCTCGCATTGCCAAGGCCACTTGTGAAGGCAAGTTCTCCCAGCGCCCTGCAATCATGGGCCTGATGTTGCAGTGCTTGGAGTCAGTTGACAGGGAAGGCCGTGGCATTCGCACCATGAAAGGAGCTAGGAAACTGACAAATGCAGAACATGATTTAGTGAACGAAGCCGGTTCCCTGCTTGCCTTGAACAACTGCTCAGAGGGAATGATGCGACAATTCGGATTTAACCGAGAGTCATGTCTGAGATCTCACGGGAAGATCAGCAACCTGCACTCCATTGGCCTTCCAAGCCCTCCTTTGGCTGTGTTATGGCACAGTATCTCTGAGCAGAATGCAGTCCTGGTAGACTCATTGGTTGGTCGTCCATCAAATGTGCATGCAAGACGACTGAACCTGGCATTTGATTTTACCTACTTGAGCAAGCTGCACTCTGTGATGGAATTGAACAACAGAAAGGTGGTGGTGGGTTCGCCCTTCTGCATGAAAGACATCGAAACTGTAGGTGATGGTTACCGGAGCTGTCTTGGTGACATTCCAGACGACCTGACCCAGGAATACAAAGGTGAAAAGCAGCGAGCAAATCGCATGTTACTTGAATGCAGTTTTGGACATTTTTGGACTGTATCCTTTTCCAAATCCGATGTTGGATTGTATAAAGTGGATCATGTGGGCTGCAGCAGTGTTTTTTTCCAGCTGGGATCCTCGATAAAGGTTGATGGTACATTTTATACGATTTTATGATGGCTTACTGCAACAATAGCTGTAGAATGCTGTATAGAGCTTTGCACAGGCAGAAAGCTGTATAAATTGCTGCCTCCAACTGCAATCTAGCTTAGAAGGGTTGTGTTGGATGCTTCGGATGAAGAAAGTAGCAATTTGTACGAGGGATCATGGTGACATTTAAGTGAGCCAAGTCCCAAGACTGCAGTGAGGTTCGAATTTCTCTGCTGGGATCCAAGTCTTCCACGTTCACATCTGCAGACCTGGTCTGTTGCATCAATCCCCATTGCTTTGGCATGGCTCAATGAATTGGGCACAGATTCCTCATGGGTATCTGGGCCCAAATCATATTGATTCAAGCCTTTATTTTTTTGAAGACATCACGAGAGAGTTTCAGGACAACAGTGACCACCAATATCCATCAATGTTCTATAGTTGATTTAATTTGATATCCTCATGGATCTTTGTTTTGAAAGCTGGCCGGGTCCATAGTGGCAGCTTCTTCGGAGGAAATTGTTCGTCTGGTAGACAAAATCCTCTCTGGATCGATTGGAGATCTTTGCATCTGCCTCATCATGGATGGTGAGGGATGCAACCAGGTGGTGAGGCGATTGATTCATGGTGTCCCAGATGCTGATAGCAAGAGGAAGTTGGAATCCACTTTGTTTTTCAAGCACCTTAGGCATGAATCATTTCCCCTGCAGTGGCCGCGGTTGCCGCAAAAGCTGTGCAGCATCTCCGGAGACCCTTTTTTTGCGCTGGTGGGACCAGCACACACCATGAAGAACGCTGCTGGACAGATCCAATCCCATATCCGAACATTGTTTTTTGGGCAGCACTTCGCCGATTTAGCAGGGTCACTGCAGCAGGGAATGCCATGGCCGGCATTTCAGAGGGCAGATGCAATGTCAGATCGTCTTTGTGCCCTGCTTTCGGCGCCACTGTTTCTCCTATCTGCAGTGGCTTGATGGGTTTTGATGTTAAGCAGTATTTTTCGAAACATTATGGGATGATATGATATGATATGTACATATATATATGTGGGCATATGTGGGCTAAAAAATGATAGTTCAATGTTGCTCTATCTGGAAAATATTTGATTAAACAATATTAAACAATATTAAACATATTAAAACATATTATGAGTTGTTAGGATATATGAATATATGATGTCACAGGGATTGAGATGATGTTTCTTTGTGGCTCCTGGGGCCACTTGAGGATGATGAAGGGGTGACCTCCTACAACATTCATGTCGCATGGCACCTGAAAGGAGCTCTTCTCTGGAACATGTCTTGTGCAGCCTGTCTGGTGTCTTGGTGGTTTCAAACAAAATCCAACAATGAACGATAATGAATCTTTCCTTCATAACAGGGATGGTTCTTCATATTTTTTTCAGTATAAAATGGCAATCCCACCCATAAAACCTATTACCTGAGATCATTTAGGGGTTTTTCACCTCGATGAAGCATTTTATACACAATTTTTCGGTGGATTTCCGAGATTCTAATATATATCAATATATAACACAGAGGTTCTTAATGGTTCTAATGAACATTCACCAGGCATGATATGGCATGATCAAATGTTTGAATTTGGGGCCTTTTTTCTGAATTATTTCTGTGAATAGAGATGCTCTACATTTTTTTCAGTATAAAATGGCAATCCCACCCATAAAGAAATGTACTGAAGATTTTTGGGGATTTGCACCTCGATGAAGCAATTTATACACAATTCTTCGGATTTCTTCATTCGGGATTCCCATATCAAACTTGTGAGGATGTAGTTGTACAAGGTGACCTTCCAACACAATTCGCCAATACCCAACAACAATAGGGGTCTATCACCTCGATGTAGCATTTTATACGCAATTCTTTTGACTATTTCCGGGGCCCCCATCGATAGAGCATTGCATCTTTAATCTATGCATCAATTCTCTGTCCCAATTATGCTTTGGCTCTGAGGCGCCTATGTTGCATCCAGGGCTGGACATGCACCAGAGGTGTGAGCTGGCTCTGACCGGCTTCTTGCTGTGGGACCTGTGGTCACTTGTGGCATCAAGGAGAGAACAGAAGTGTGGATTGAAGAAGGGTTCCTGCCAACTCGCAAGTCAGACACGGAACAACCTCCAATCAATTGCTCTCACCGCTGCTGCCATGTGCTTGCAGAAACGTCCCACATGGACCCCCTTTCAGAGAAGCATGTCTGAGGTGGCCATAGAGCAGTACTTTGGAAGGATTCGAGCCAGTTCCCAGTCTGGAGATGTGCATTGTCGCAGCTATTGGAGTGCTGCTGCAGGGATTGCCCGTGCAGAGCTAGCCAAGAAGAAACACTTGAGCTTTAAGCATGGACCTGTGCCTTCTGCACCCGTTGTGGAAGCACTCTCCCAGAGCGAGCCACTGGGCAGCCATCCATCTTTGCTCGATGTTTTTCAATTTACCAATTGTTGCCATTTTTTTGTGATAATATAGGCTTTGGTAGCCATGGATGGCCCATGAGCTATCATGAGCTCATGGCAGGTTTCAGAAATGTGCACGCAAAGCTTGGACGGCATCAATGCAATTGGTCGCATCAACTTCGGAGATGCAGGTCTCCGTTTTGGAGTCACTGTACAGCTTGGAAGCCTCGTCTGATGACTTTGGTAGCTCTCTTTTGCCAGAGGAAGAGGATGAGGACATGCAGCGTGTGGAGTGTGCTCGTGCTAGTGAGAACGAGCTGAACTTTGACAGGAACGGGATGCATGCAATCCTTACCGAAATTCAGCAGACAGCTGCAGATGAGTTTGAAGAAGTTGACGAAGAGGGTGAACCTACTGCACCCAAAGCTGCAGATTCTGATGCGCAGCTTCCTGATGGTGGACAATTGATCGCCTTGACAGAAGCTGGTCGCGCAGAGGACTCTGAGCCTATTGATGCGAACGTTGATCCCATCAAGACCTTGACAGAAGTCTTGTTCCTATGCATACCAAGAAATCAATTGTTTTGTTTTCTGTTTTTATTTGAAAAAATGAACAGAGAACGAAACAATGCTAAACAATGCAAAAATTAACGAAACAAATATGCAATACAGAACATATATGTATGTATTATATAGATATATGTAGTTCATTGGCACTCATATATGTATATACTTGTATATTTAGGTTCCAACCCCGATATTCTGTCCCATGGATGTGCCTTTTCCTGGCCTGTATGAGGTCTGACGGTCAAATGTGGCCACGGCTTTGGCGCCTCACATTCTTTCTGAGATGTGGCTCTCAGGGGATTGATTCTCAATACTTGAAGAACGCAGAGGTGGTTCGTCGGCGTTCCAGAAAACTCAATTGGCAGCAGACGCTAGGCATATCAGTGAAAAAAAACACCATGTTTGGTAATACCCTGTATGTTCTGAACAGTTTTGGACTTGTTTTAACAATGATAAACAATGCATTTGCATGACTTCTGAACACTTCTGTGGTTGAAATGTAAATTTGGGTCACCACAGGCCCAAGTATCATCGCTTTTTCCGGTGTCCCAGGACCTTGGAACACAATTTGAAGCAGCTCAGGGCCAAGGACAACGAGACTATGCAAGGAGTCAAGGGGTCCCGACTTTCAAAGTGGATTGCTTCAAAAGATGCTAGGAGAGAGTCTGTAGGTGCAGTGGAGCCGCAGAAGTTGCAGAATCTTGTCTCTGCATGTCTGTGCATCCGGTGCCAAAACCTGTGCTATAAATTGGTTCCTTCCAATTTTGGGTTAGATTATCTTGTTGGATTTGCCTGGGGGGACCTGGATGATGCATTTTATAGGGATTTGTTTTTTCATATGAGGTCCCAAGCATTCAAAAATCTTCAGTCATTGCAGGCCATCAATTCTGTATAAAATGCATTTTGCCAGTTATTTGAATGAAGGGGTATAGGTGGTCATGTGGAAAATGCAGGGAAATGCACATTATACAGACAAATGTTTTTTTTTAAAAAATACAGCAGCCCAGGACTGGAAACATTGTTGTGGCCTACACTGGCGAGAAAGACCCGCTCCTGGTGTGTCTTGTGATGACGCTGTGGCCAAAAATGCAGAAGCCGAAGCCCTGTGCAGCATCGGTGCCTCTGACAAACATCAAATGTTTCAGAGCTGTGGTGCTGGAACAGACGGATGAGGGATTGAAGCCTACCACGACTCTTTCCATGCTTGATGGCATCAACGTCTTGGCCATTTTAGATTCTGAGGGGTCTGACTTGAACAGAGGCAATCTCGTCATCTCTCAGGAGTCGCAAGAGCTGCTGTCCAAACTCAAGGCAGGAGAATTTGAGAAACCCACCTTGCCAAAGAGGAAACGGCGATGTCCAACAACAAAGGCAGCCAGGAAAAGAGTTGCAAAAAAAGTGAAACAGATGCATGCCAAAAAGAACAACAAGAATAGCAAAACAGACCAGGAGCCAAAAGCACAAGACAAGAAACGCAGCAGAACGGAAGTTGCTCTTGAACATGCAGAATCCATCACTTCTGCGGACTTGAGAAAAAATTCAGCTGGAAGAACTGCTATCTCAAATGTTATGGCCCGGTGCCGTGAGCTAGACTGCTTGAAATTTGAGAAACCAGTTTTCCACAGCATGACCAACTTGTGCACTTTGCCTGGTTTGGACCACATGACCTTCAAAGTTTTCTCCACAAAAGCCGGCAAGTACTTTGAATGCAAGTATGCATTCTCAGCCCGCAGCCCGGCCGACTACGGCGAGCGTGTCTTTTCCGATTTAGTTCTTATGTGCAAGAATTTGCGCAAAGACCCTCCTTCCCGAAATCTATGGATTCAGCTGGTCAAAGACGTAGCAAAGACTCTTGATGTCAGGTCTTTGGTGTGAGAATGTTTGAGGCTTTGGATGCCTTTGGCATCCTTTGGCATCCTTTTGCGATGCGATCCTGGTTGGGGAAATCACGGTCGCAGTTTGTTGCAGACATGGTTGCAGATAGTTGCAGAAAGTCGCCAAAAAAGGGCATGATTTGGTGTGAATGGGATGGGCATAGATGGGCTGGAAATGTGTGAAAATCAACAGAATATGCCTTAACCATCCTTAACCTTGATGAAACATTTTATACAATCTTATGGGTCTTGTTGTGTCTAGTGAACTAGCTATCCCTGATAACCTGCACGGAGCAATTTATACTTGGCAATTGTCTAAAGTTGCTGCACTACACTGTGGACATATGTGGACATGCTTCACCTGGTAGGAGCATTTTATACAGATAGTTGGTTGCTTATGTTTTTTTGTTGTTTTTAATGTTGTCCTTGGGTGGAATCATTAACCTGGATGGGGCATTTTATACTATTTTTTGGCTATCATTTTATACATTGGATGTAGTTGTTTTTAAGCTGTTTTTGCTAAAAATATGTTGGATGGAGCACTTTATACGGGCCCAAGGGCTACCCACCGTATAAATTGAACCCTTAAAGCATCCTATGGGCTAATCACCAGGGATGATAGACTGACAGGTGTATAGACTGACACTGAGACTGACAGATAGGTAAATCAATCAAGAGAGAGAGGGGGATATAATAATATATGCATTGGCGAAGTGTAGGGCAAAACCTCTGGAAGCCCTGGCAAAATATATAGTTTGCAGGCGCCATTTCTTTTCCATTGACCAAGCGTTCCAGTGTTGTGATGGACCGTCTCAGAAATTCGGCTTGTCTCTTTTTGAGTTTCATGGGGATTATGGGTTGGTCCAAAACGAAGAACCCAAGCCCTAACCAGTCAGGAGAAGGGCTCCATTGGTCCAACCCCTTGGTTTGCCATCAGTGAGGACTTGATCTTCGCCTATTACAACTTGAACCGACAGCGGAGAATTTGGAGCGGCCGGTGTTCTTTTCTGCTGGTCCTGGCAACGTTGCTGGTGCCTCGGCAAGGACAATAATCCGGGAATAGCAAGGTATGTTTTTGGGTTCTATTTATTTATATATGAACGTATACCAGGATATATATACATCAAACCAGTGGATATTCGACAGTCGCAAAATTACATCTAATCTAAGACATCCCCTGTGAAAACCGATGTGGCTGGCTGTCGGCACAGGTTTTGTACTACTTAAATCAGACTAACTCTGGCGTATGGCTTCATCATTTTCCGATCCATACCCAGCGGAGGCTGTGGGATGCGGAGTTCTGCGTCTCATCTCCTTTATTTACAAACGAAGCCCACAGGCACCGCGCGTTTGACAAAGGGTTTCAGACGTCAGGTCAGCATCAGTAGCATCTACTGTAACCAATTCAGCACAGAATTCTCGGCATTTTGCCAATGTTAAGCAACGTGCCTTAGAGTGGAGTGGCTGACCCTAGATCTCACCCTGATTCCCAGATGCTTCAGGCCGTGGAATCAGAGGCCTGTTGCTCTCGGGCTGCGATTTGTTTGGGGGTCCAACAGCAATATTGGATGGTCACCCGCTTCAACACCAAGTTGTCCTACACACCAAGAATCAGACAGAGAACGGCTCACTTACAGTATCATCTAGTCAATGGGTTTAGGCATTTCCGATGAAAACGCGATGTTTTGGTGATACCAGTAATATCCCCCAACATCGCCCAACTCTGTTACGATCTCTCCGGGACGCCGGGGGTCAGATCTGATTGTGTGGTAGGTCGTTGTGATGAACGACTTCTCCCTCCTGGGCTGTTTCCCGTTGCTTGGGAATGATGCGCCTTCCAGGGCTTCGGCGGAATTCATGGTTAGTGCCTTCGCCGAAGCCATAGGATGTCTCGGTGCAAGGGGGGTTGACCCGTGGCATGGAAAAACAGGGTCTATTTGGGCACGTCCCTGCGGCGGGCTTTTTCAGCCATGCTGACGATCAAAAACCTGCATAACATATTCATTGTAGGTAGACAAGATGATGAGCCAAAGTTTACTTGAAACAACCTTCCCTCTGTTTCACTTATTGTGAGTTTTTTTGTTTTTATCTCCTTCTTGTTTCCCGGGTAGAAAAGTTTCCCTCTAAACAAGTTTTGCAGACAAGCAACCTTTCTCGCGTACATGTCCTGCCTTGCTCTTTTAGGGACTACAGTATGAGGCAACGATTCTTACAAGTAGCCTAGATGATGGGGCAAAGGCTACTTGAAACAACTTCCCCTCTTTTGCACTTTTTGTATCGCGCACCTCCTTTTTATTACTGGGCTGGAAGGGTTTGCTCTCTGCGCAAGGTTCGGCCGAGAATCAGTACTCAATTTCCTTTTTTCTCTTTTATGTTTCTTGTCTTGTTTCCAGTTGCTGTTGCTGGGGTGGAAATTCTTTTGAAGGGGACCGGGCCAGCTTCTCTCAACTGTGCCGTCTTTCCTTTGCATTCCTTTTCATGTCCTGGCTTGTTGTTGCTGGGGGTGGACAGGTTGCCGTCGTTACGGGCCATGAGGCAAAACTTCTTTGACCTAGCCACGCTCTAGACGATGGGGAAAAGGTTACTTGAAACAACGTTCCCTCTTTTGCACCTCTTGTCTATTGTATCTCCTTATTGTTTTTGAGGAAGAAATCATTATCTACTTGCTGTTGGTGGGCCAGCTTCTCAACTGTTCTCTTTGCTTTGTACTCCTCTTCTTGTGGTTGTTTGCTGTTTCTGAGGTGGACAGGTTGCTCTTTGAGGTTTTCACTTCCACCTCTCTTGTCTTGTTTGTTGTTGCTGTTGCTGGTGTGAAAGGGCTTTCGAAGGGGATGGGGTCAGCTTCTCTCAGCTGTGTCGTCTTTCCTTTTCATTCCCCCTCTTGTACTTGTTTGTTGTTGCTGGGGTTGACAGGTTGCCGTCTTTAGGGACAACTCTAGATGATGGGGCAAAGGTTACTTGAAACAACCTCACCTCTATTGCACCTCTTGTGTATCGTTACTCCTTTTTGTTTCTGGGGTGGAACGGTTTCTCTCTAAACAAGCTTTGGCCGATAATCAACTATCACCTTCTTCTTTCACGTTTACATTTGATGTCTTGTGATTCTTTACTTGCTGTTGCTGGGACAGTTTCTCAACTGGTGCCTTTGCATTGCAGTACTCTTCTTGTGGTTGTTTGTTGTTTCTGGGGTGGACAGGGTGCTCTCTTAGGGACTACAGTATGAGGCAACGCTTCTTACAAGTAGCCTAGATGATGGGGCCAAGGTTATTTGAAACAACTTACCGTTTTTTGTTGTTTTTAATTGTAACTCCTTTTTCTTACTGGGCTGGAAGGGTTTGCTCTCTACGCAAGGTTCGGCCGAGAATCAGTACTCAATTTCCTTTTTTCTCTTTTATGTTTCTTGTCTTGTTTCCAGTTGCTGTTGCTGGGGTGGAAATTCTTTTGAAAGGGGCCATTCTCTCAACTGTGTCGTCTTTCCTTTTCATTACTTTTCGTGTCCTGGCTTGTTGTTGCTGGGGGTGGACAGGTTGCCGTCGTTACGGGCCATGAGGCAAAACTTCTTTGACCTAGCCACGCTCTAGACGATGGGGAAAAGGTTACTTGAAACAACGTTCTCTCTTTTGCACCTCTTGTCTGTTGTATCTCCTTATTGTTTTTGAGGAAGAAATCATTATCTACTTGCTGTTGCTGGGCCAGCTTCTCAACTGTTCTCTTTGCCTTGTATTTCTTTTATTGTGGTTCTTTGCTGTTTCTGGGGTGGACAGGTTGCTCTTTGAGGTTTTCACTTCCACCTCTCTTGTCTTGTTTGTTGTTACTGTTGCTGGTGTGAAAGGGCTTTCGAAGGGGATGGGGTCAGCTTCTCTCAGCTGTGTCGTCTTTCCTTTTCATTCCTCCTCTTGTACTTGTTTGTTGTTGCGGGGGTTGACAGGTTGCCGTCTTTAGGGACAACTCTAGATGATGGGGCAAAGGTTACTTGAAACAACCTCCCCTCTATTGCACCTCTTGTGTATCGTTACTCCTTTTTGTTTCTGCGGTGGAACGGTTTCTCTCTAAACATGCTTTGGCCGATAATCAACTATCACCTTCTTCTTCCACGTTTACATTTGATGTCTTGTGACTATCTACTTGCCGTTGCCAGGCCACCTTCTCAACTGCTGCCTTTGCTTTGCAGTCCTCTTCTTGTGGTTGTTTGTCCTTGTTTGTTGTTTCTGGGGTGGACTGGCTGCTCTTTTAGGGACTACAGTATGAGGCAACGCTTCTTCCAAGTAGCCTAGATGATGGGGCAAAAGTTGCTTCGAAAAAACTTACCGTCATTTTTGTATTTTTTCGGGAATTGTCAAAGAATTGTATATAGTTCCTTTCAATTACTGGGCTGGAAGGGTTTGCTCTCTGCGCAAGGTTCGGCCGAGAATCGGTACTCCAATTTCCTTTTTCTCTTTTATGTTTCTTGTCTTGTTTCCAGTTGCTGTTGCTGGGGTGGAAATTCTTTTGAAAGGGGCCAGCTTCTCTCAACTGTGTCGTCTTTCCTTTTCATTACTTTTCGTGTCCTTGCTTGTTGTTGCTGGGGGTGGACAGGTTGCCGTCGTTACGGGCCATGAGGCAAAACTTCTTTGACCTAGCCACGCTCTAGACGATGGGGAAAAGATTACTTGAAACAACGTTCCCTCTTTTGCACCTCTTGTCTATTGTATCTCCTTATTGTTGCTGGGTAGAAAAGTTTCTCTCTAAACATGCTTTGGCCGATTATCAATTGTCACTTCCTTCTTTTACGTTTACATTTGATGTCTTGTGATTATCTACTTGCTGTTGCTGGGCCACCTTCTCAACTGCCGCCTTTGCTTTGCAGTCCTCTTCTTGTGGTTGTTTGTTGTTTCTGGGGTGGACAGGCTGCTCTTTTAGGAACTACAGTATGAGGCAACGCTTCTTCTACGTAGCCAAGATGATTGGGCAAAGGTTTCTTGAAACAACTTCTCCTCTGTTGTACCTCTTGTGTGTTGATGTGTGTTGTATCTCCTTCTTGTTTCTGGGGTGGAAGGGTTTCTCTCTAAACAAATTTAAGATGATAATCAATTATCAATCTTTGGCGTTTACATTCCTTGTCTTGTATCTAGTTGCTGTTGCTGCAGTGGAAGGGCTCTTGAGGGGAGGCGGGCCAGCTTCTCTCAACTGTTGTATTTCGTTTGCGTTCCTTTTCTTGTATTTGCACATTGCTACTGGGATGGACAGGGGGGGGCTATTTAATTCCTCTTGACATGAAATAGCTTTGGTTGTGGGGCAAGGGCTGGTTGAAACCATCTTCTATCCTTTGCGTCTTTTGTCAGGTTCTTTTTTAATTTGCTGCTCAGGTGGAAAGGTTAGCTCACGAGACAAATTTTGGGCCGATGTGGGCCGATATGGGCCGACAAAATGTCTTTGCTCCCCGTCTCATTTTTTGTTGTCTGTTTTAGTTGCTGCACTGGCATGGTTGTCTTTAGAAAAGGCTGGGCCAGGTTCTCTCACTTGCTGTCTTGTCTTAGCATTCCTTGTCTTGTCTTCGTGTGCTCTTTCTGGACTGGGCACATTGCCACCTCTAGGGACAGTGAAGCAAATCTTTGAAAAAATATCCTGTCCTCTGCATCTTACTGTAATCCACAGACCATCTCCTTGGCTTGGTGGTAGAAGGATGGGCTATCTAGACAAGGCTGAGCCAAAAACCATTCTTCAACTCCATGCCTGCCTACGCCTCTTTACTTTTGTCTTGTAAGTACCTGAGTGCTGTTGCCGCATTGGAAAACTGTGTTCTTCAGGGCAGGTTTGGCCAGCTTTGGTCAACTGTTGCCTTTTCTTTGCATTTCTCTTCTTGTCTTCGCGTGTTAGTATAATCGGTTTCTTGCCACTAGAAAAAATGCGTATGGATTTTGGGCCGTTGTGGTCCATACATATTGACCTTCTAGCAGGCAGAAAATTGCATGTTTTTCGTTCATGCATATGCAATTGAAATGACCCAAAAGCTCTGGTTAGGCTAAATTCTATCTATTAGGTTATATCATGTTATATCTGGTTTTCTGACTATTAGTTAAATTTTGTTTTTACCTATTAGGTAAAACAACTGTTTTACCGAATAGTCAGAATGATCAAATAACCTTTTTTCTTCAGGTTATTTATATGAATATGGTTTTTCTTATAGGTTATTTATATGAATAACTTGTTTTGGTACTTTTTTTGGATCAACTTCGTTTTCTCTATATATAAATATATCTATCTATATTGTAATCTCCAATGAAACACTTTTTGGTTTGATACATTTTTTCCGATA